CTGGATTTTTGTTTTAGATTCTGTCTCTCACAGTTGAAGTGTACCTATGATAAAAATTACAGACCTCTACATGCTTTGTAAGTAGGAAAACCTGCAAAATCGGCAGTGTATCAAATACTTGTTCTCCCCACTGTATATGAGTGGCTGAGTGAGTGACTGAGATAATGACAGGAGATATGAGTGGCTGAGTGAGTGACTGAGATAATGACAGGAGATATGAGTGACTGAGATAATGACAGGAGATATGAGTGGCTGAGTGAGTGACTGAGATAATGACAGGAGATGTGAGTGGCTGAGTGAGTGACTGAGAGAATGACAGTAGATGTGAGTGACTGAGATAATGACAGTAGATATGAGTGGCTGAGTGAGTGACTGAGATAATGACAGTAGATATGAGTGACTGAGAGAATGACAGTAGATATGAGTGGCTGAGTGAGTGACTTAGATAATGACAGGAGATATGAGTGGCTGAGTGAGTGACTGAGATAATGACAGTAGATATGAGTGGCTGAGTGAGTGACTGAGATAATGACAGTAGATATGAGTGGCTGAGTGAGTGACTGAGATAATGACAGTAGATATGAGTGACTGAGAGAATGACAGTAGATATGAGTGGCTGAGTGAGTGACTTAGATAATGACAGTAGATATGAGTGACTGAGTGAGTGACCGAGATAATGACAGTAGATATGAGTGGCTGAGTGAGTGACAGAGAATGACAGTAGATATGAGTGGCTGAGTGAGTGACAGAGAATGACAGTAGATATGAGTGGCTGAGTGAGTGACTGAGAGAATGAGAGTAGATATGAGTGACTGAGATAATGACAGTAGATATGAGTGACTGAGATAATGACAGTAGATATGAGTGGCTGAGTGAGTGACTGAGAGAATGACAGTAGATATGAGTGGCTGAGTGAGTGACTGAGATAATGACAGTAGATATGAGTGACTGAGTGAGTGACCGAGATAATGACAGTAGATATGAGTGGCTGAGTGAGTGACAGAGAATGACAGTAGATATGAGTGGCTGAGTGAGTGACTGAGATAATGACAGTAGATATGAGTGACTGAGATAATGACAGTAGATATGAGTGGCTGAGTGAGTGACTGAGAGAATGACAGTAGATATGAGTGACTGAGTGAGTGACTGAGATAATGACAGTAGACTAAATGTAGGTCAGAAGGTTCAGTCTCTGGAAAGAGCCCTTAACAGGCCTTATAATAATAATAATAATAATAATAATAATAATAATAAGCCATTTAGCAGACTTTACCAGGTCTTCTTCTCATGTCCTGAGCCTTACTACCATCAGTAACAGTTACCTGGGCGGTAAGTATTTTTATTTTCCCCTTTATTTAACTAGGCAAGTCAATTAAGAACACATTTATATTTACAATGACGGCCTACACCGGCCAAACCCGGACGACGCTGGGCCAATTGTGCACCGCCCTATGGGACTCCCAATCACGGGCCGGTTGTGATACAGCCTGGAATCGAACCAGGGTCTGTATTGCCTCAAGCACTGAGATGCAGTGCCTTAGACCGCTGCGCCACCCGGGAGCCCAGACCGCTGCGCCCCCCGGGAGCCCAGACCGCTGCGCCACCAGGGAGCCCAGTGACAGTATTGGGTTTTGAGTTTAAGAGTAGAGTAAAATAATAAGCTCTGTTTCTGGAGGATAGAAACATATAAAGCTGTTGTCTTTTAGTTAAAGCTGCAATATCTCACTTTTTGGGCGACCCTGACCAAATTCACATAGAAATGTGATTTATAGATCTGTCATTCTCATTGAAAGCAAGTCTAAGAAGCGGTGGATCTGTTCTATGTGCTCTGTTTCTATGCTTCCCGGTCTGAAGTTTCATTTTGCCTCGTTTTGTACACCAGCTTCAAAACAGCTGAAAATACAATATTTGTGGTTATTGAAAATATATTTCAGAGGTTCAGATGGTACAATGATTCTCTAGACTACTGCTTGTTTAGTCACATGAACTATTAGAATTTTAGCAACCAGGAAATGGCGAAGCGATTTCTGTATATTGCACCTTTAAAACATACACTACATGGCCAAAAGTATGTGGGCGCCTGCTCGTCGAACATCTCATTCCAAAATCATGGGCATTAATATGGAGTTGGACCCCCCTTTGCTGCTATAACAGCCTCCACTCTTCTGAGAAGGCTTTCCACTAGATGTTGGAACATTTCTGCAGGGACTTGCTTCCATTCAGCCACAAGAGCATTAGTGAGGTCAGGCACTGATGTTAGGTGTTTAGGCCTGGCTCGCAGTCGGCGTTCCAATTCATCCCAAAGGTCAGGGCTCTATGCAAGTTCTTCCACACCGATCTTGACAAACCATTTCTGTATGGACCTTGCTTTGTGCACGGGGGCATTGTCATGCTGAAACAGCAAAGGGCCTTCCCCAAACTGTTGCCACAAAGTTGGAAGCACAGAATCGTCTATAATGCCATTGTATGCTGTAGTGTTAAGATTTCCCTTCACTGGAACTAAGGGGGCCTAGCCTGAACCATGAAAAACAGCCCCAGACCATTTTTCCTCCTCCACCAAACTTTACAGTGGGCACTATCCATTCGGGCAGGTAGCGTTCTCCTGGCATCTGCCAAACCCAAATACGTCCGTCAGACTGCCAGATGGTAAAGCGTGATTCATCACTCCAGAGAACGCATTTCCACTGCTCCAGAGTCCAATGGTGGCGAGCATTACACCACTCCAGCCGACACTTGGCATTGCGCATGGTGATATTAGGCTTGTGTGCGGCTGCTCGGCCATGGAAACCCATTTCATGAAGCTCCTGACGAACAGTTCTTGTGCTGACGTTGCTTCCAGAGGAAGTTTGGAACTTCACTTTGGTAGTGAGTGTTGCAACCAATGAGAGATGATTTGTACGCGCTACAGCACTCGGCGGTCCCGTTCCATGAGCTTGTGTGGCCTACCATTTCGCGGCTGAGCCGCTGTTGCCCCTAGACGTTTCCACTTCACAATCACAGCACTTACAGTTGACCGGGGCAGCTCTAGCAGGGCAGAAATTTGAGGAACTGACTTGTTGGAAAGGTGGCATCCTATGACGGTGCCACGTTGAAAGTCTCTGAGCTCTTCAGTATGGGCTATTCTACTGCCAATGTTTGTCTACGGAGATTGCATGGCTGGTGATTTATTTAACCAGGTAAGCCAGTTGAGAACAAGTTCTCATTTACAACTGCGACCTGGCCAAGATAAAGCAAAGCAGTGCGATAAAAAACAACACTGTTACATATGGGGTAAACAAAACAAAGTCAAAAAAATACAACAGAAAATGTATATACAGTGTGTGCGAATGTAGTAAGTTATGGAGGTAAGGCAATAAATAGGCCATAGTGCAAAATAGTTACAATTCAGTCAGCAACAGGTGTGGCTGAAATAGCAGAATCCACTAATTTGAAGCGGTGTCCACTTACGTATACACTGAACAAAAATATAAACATGTAAAGTGTTGGTCCCATGTTTCATGAGCTGAAATAAAAAAAGAACCCAGAAATGTTCCATACGCACAAAAAGCGTATTTCTCTGTCAGCAGAGGAAGCAGGCTATGGTCATTCCATTGTGTGGGGTCTTCCGGTCTTCAGAGGGATACAAAACTGATATGTCCTCATATGCCGTCGGACATATACCAGTCAACTGGCTTTTGCAAAGATCAATATTAATTTAGCCTATTCCATATAGACGGCTGACAATGTCACAAAATGATGCGCGCATCGATGGGGACGGAATCCATGCTTTATGATTCTGAAGGTTCAGACCACAATGACAATAAGCTGCCATGTGGGGAATCGTAGGTGGCTCGTTTCAGCTCGCTGTATCTCGTTACTGAAACCATGTCTTGTGTTGAGGTGTTGACAGATTTAATGTCTACGCTAATATAGCAAAAGCTTTGCTAGCTAACCAACTGTAACGGTGCATGATGAGACAAAGTGCTCATTGTGCATCTGTACGTTTTCAATAAACATTTGTAGACTAAATATAGTTTACATGTCAATAATCTAAGCCAACCATCCGTTTTGCCCCACGGTTTTGTTGCTAAACCACCAGTCTGTTGTTTCTGATCATCAACAGTTACCCATCTGTCTGAAGGAAGCCTCACTGAAACACGTTTAAACAGAAATAGAGTTACAGCGTAGATTTCTTCTAGGCTTACTTTACAATTACGTTATCGTCTCAGAGCTTACCTTTTACTCTCAAGTCAGTGTACTAAACGAGACCTGCTGTTCAGTAGAGAGACGAAACTGCACTCAATCCTTCATTCAGGAAATGTCTTTATTCTGCCCGTGGTAAAGCAGGTGATGAGACATGAGGCTGACGGTCAGGCGTCAAAGAATGGCTCTACATTTAAACCTCAATTACAACAAACATCAACGTTACACTTGTCTTTTTTTAACTGTTAGATTATTCAAATGAACTATTTACGCAGCATTAAACCAAGATTAGGGGGCAAGCCATTACATTTCCCCATTATAATTAATCTGTAAAACCAAAACGTGTTAAAAAGCCATAAAATAACAAAAAAATCTGAAAACACGGCCATGCACTCTTCAATAAACCAAACACTTTTTGATCCATTGCAAGATTAAAGGTATATTTTCATATATTAAGAGAATAATAACTACTAACAACGAATTAGGAATCTGTTTTCTTCAGAAATGTAGTACATCAATGCCCCAGCTAAAGGGGTCTGTGTTAAATATTAGAACACATTGCAGTCCGGCCTTAATGGGACAAGACCACAGCTTTTACACCACTTTAAGCATTATGCCACTTAAAAGAAGAAACCATATTCAAAATTACAGCTTATAGGAAAATAAAACATTACTGGCGACTGATCGTATTATGGGCTTCACAATGGATATTAAAACTCTCTCACTAACAGCAAACACTGAATGTATGCAACTAGAAATAACATGCATGTTAGGCATTTACATTTATTATGAGTCTCCTGATTGATCAACTAACAAAATTAGATCTCACTGTCTTTTTCATAACTCGACAGACTGGAAAGACGGTCTCGAAAATAAGAAAAAAAAAAAAAAAAGGTCTAAGGAGTAGATGCTAAGGAAGCCCCGTTGTCATGGAGAAGCAGAGGGGTAAAAGTAGAATCAGCTACGAAAGAGAAGTTTAGGTCCCAACCACAGGTCATATTGATCAATAAGCCAAAACCGAACATCGTGGACAAACTGGGTTACTGCAGTATTCCTATACAGCGAGCTGCAGTCAAAACAGGGTCCTATTGTATTAGGCACCAAAATGGAAGAAAAACACACTGACATTATTTGGACTTGTCCAATAAGAACTCATTTTCTTTTTTCGTTGCAAAAAAAACTTTGCCCCTAAAGAATACAACCCTGTCCTACACGGCTTACAGAACCAGGCCCTATCCGATGTGGTCTTTTGATATTAACAAGGGAGTTTGTTTAGAATCTAGAGACAACAGAAAAAAGGGTACACACAGGCAGCGTTCCAGGCCGACTACATTGCAGTCTTGCTGCGGGCATCAACCGCGTTATTGACTGTGCACACTGGCATCAGAACAATGCTATATCATATGGATGCGGTTAGCTCACATCTTAAAACGCCTTATCCGGGTGTTGTTAGATCTGGCAGGCGACTGCAACGTAGTCCGCCTGGAACGTGGCCACAGACTACTTTAAATGAATAAAAAGGGGGATAACTAGTCCTAGTAGCTACTGTCCAAATCTTTCTTGTCCTTCTTCCCTTCGCCCTCGAAGCCGTCCGCTCCGTCGATGTCTCGGCGACGCTTGCGGTTGTTGCGGACGTTGAAGCGAGGGTTCATCTGGGGCAGCGGGTCCATGCCCAGCACCTTGTGGATCTGCCGGAACGCTAGCAGCCGCAGAGCAAACTGGACAGAGACACAGCGAGTTAGCGTAATAACTACGGCGTACCTCAAGGATCTGTCCTTACGTCATTATTATTCAGATAGTGAGACGTCTCAATAGGAAGCACTGGAGGTCCAGTGCCTCAGGATTACACATCAGACCCTTACTATATTCATGGCCAGTATCTCATCAGTTCCTCAACTTACTGGGTCATTCATATTTATAGAAATGATCTGGCAGAAGTATCAAGTACTTCCATTCTATCTACAGACGATTTCAAAATCAGGTTATACATCTTTCCAACAAGTCTCAAAACTTTTAAGGCAAAACCATTACTATACGTCTGACAATTACAATACATCTTTATGGCCAGTACCTTCTATTGATGGTGTACCTCAAGGATCTGTTCTTGGGCTATTATAAAAAAGGTATACAGTGGGGAGAACAAGTATTTGATACACTGCCGATCTTGCAGGTTTTCCTACTTACAAAGCATGTAGAGGTCTGTAATTTTTATCATAGGTACACTTCAACTGTGAGAGACGGAATCTAAAACAAAAATCCAGAAAATCACATTGTATGATTTTTAAGTAATTAATTTGCATTTTATTGCATGACAGAAGTATTTGAAACATCAGAAAAGCAGAACTTAATATTTGGTACAGAAATGCAAATGAATTACTTAAAAATCATACAATGTGATTTTCTGGATTTTTGTTTTAGATTCCGTCTCTCACAGTTGAAGTGTACCTATGATAAAAATTACAGACCTCTACATGCTTTGTAAGTAGGAAAACCTGCAACAACAAAAATCGGCAGTGTATCAAATACTTGTTCTCCCCACTGTACATGATATGATGTATTCTGTGCCTGTCAGTACCTGGGCACTTGAGGTGATGTCCTCCCTGTGCTGCTCGTCCATGGTTGTCAGGGTGTCGGTGGGGTTCTTCTCACACGGGTCGACCAACCCCGGACCACCTGGTGGACAGACAAAACACCCATCAGCATTCTGCTCACCCCACACAACACCAGGGGAAAAAAAGCTATGAGGATCGTCAAAAATAGTCGGCCATGATAGTCAAAATCATGACCTAAAATTAACACCCGCCAAATGCAGGTAAATGTAGGTACTGGCGGGTAAGAATGTCTATTTCACCAGCCACGCTGGCGGATGTCAATTTCAAGGGCTCTATAGTGCGAGCATTACATTAGAAAATAATAATCGTCAAAAAGTCAAGTATGAGCGCGTGCTAATTGCAAAAAGAAATGGGGAACCTATATCCAGCCTCACGCAGCAACTCCGCCTGCGCATTGAGTATAGTACTGGAGGTGCAGCACACAGACATAAGTGTCTAATTTACTCTCACATCTACAAAATGAGACTTTGTCCTCGTGTTTCTTGACTATTTACATCGTTCACAAGCTCGGTTGTTTTTCAACGTTAGTTTGAGTCTGCTGCTTCAACTGATAGCGAAGAGTCAGATCCCAAATCTCAGAGACACACGTGACATGACGACTCGAGAGGCCCCGTTACCGTGGCAACCTCCAGTCCTTAAAAAGGGGCAGTTGAACATTTTGTCTGATATTTTTATTAAAAAGACCTTAGGTCACCAAAATGTTTTACGAAATTTAGCAATATACCACAATACCTTACTAATACATTTCGTGTTTTAGAAACATTACAAAAGCATTGTCACTTGTTTTTATTTTATTTTATGCAATTATGGCAGAAACTAATTTGGCTGGTAAAACACCCGAGTGGCTGGTAAATGTTTAAATCAACCGGCCACAGTGACTGGTGGACCACAAAGTACATTTCAGGCCCTGGTCAAAACAGTCTATCATGATCAGTCGAAAAAAAAAATACAAAATTGATCATGGTTAGACTTACCGGGGAGCAGGATCCCGGAGGAAATACATTCAAAGACTCGTCTTAACGCGTCGCCTGGGCTCAGGGGGCCGGAGGCGCTGCTGATGGCCTTCTCCACCAGCAGCTCCATGGCCTGGAGAACAGGGAGGTGGAGACCAATCAGAAGGGAGCATGTACAGGGCAGTAAAACAGGGGTACATTTCTGGTGCTTCTGGCTTTTCAATTCTAGGTCGGGAAAGACTCGGGATGCAAGAGAAGCATTTCCTATTACTCTCCTTCAAAACATCAGAGCGAACAACGCCGACGCCACTTAATGTTGAGATGTTGAGTAATATTAACTGGTGTGTATCAGCCTGACGATGAACTCACCCAGCTGGGGAAGGCGGACCACGTGGGAACCCTCTGACAGAGGTCACGCAGGATACGAATAACAATCACACAGGATTGGAGTCCGTTGGCCCTAGCCTTGTGGTGCAATAACACGTTCAGTTTAGTGACAGTCAGAGACAGGAGCAGACAACAGGGATCATAGTACACAATACATACATTACAACAGGTCTGTCAGAGGTCAAAACACTACTGTACACAATGGAAGCTTGTGATTGGGTGATTTGAAGTATTGTTAAAAAGGGGGCCGTAATTGGTTGGAATCAGCTGCCATTTCCAGGAGTATTTCACCTCGTCGGGAACGTTAGTAAAAAAAAAAAAAAAGAGAGTTCACAGTTTGCAAGATGAAAAGATGAAACAAGAAAAGTTTAGGTTTCGTTTCCTTGTCATCTTATAAACCCTGACCTCTCAGGGTTGGGTTTCACAGACAGTCCGGTACTTATAGTACACAGTGTGTTTGTAAAGAAGATTGAGCGTAAGGGACTGGGAGAGTGGAGGGAATCTGCTTTACTTTTGCCTGCGTGTTTGCTTTTGGGACATAGCAGTGACACAGTAAACTAAATCAGATGTCCCTTCTCTCAATCCCCATTATTCTACGAACAGAAAATAAAAAGCTACAAACGCTCAACATGGAAGCTCTTATCGGATGCCAAAGATGCAAAGATATCTCTGCAGCCTTATGGAATCATGTTTTAACACTAAGAAAACAGTCTGGTAAAAACAAAAGGAATACAAGGATGCCAGTTTCTTTTTGTTGTTGTTTTTTTTTTTTTACCAGAAAATTATTACCATTCTAAAGTTCATCTGAATAAATATCATAAATAAAGATTGGATATTCAATCTGGTCAAAACATTATCATTACAAGGGTGGCATCCTTGAATATTATAATTTTTAAATATATTTTTTATATTATACAAAATCTGGTATTACTGCGTTTTTTGTTTGTTAAAAATTAAATACTAATTCCTTCATAAAAAAAACAATTCAAACAAAGGAAAGAAAAAAAAAATGCATCTCATAAGGCTACAATAAGTAAAAGGATGTGTCCGAACCTGGAACCACTTAGCGTGGCGGAGAGCCGCTAGACCGTCAAGGCATTTTAGCCTGTCCAAGACGTCCGCCGGGTCTCGCACCAAGCCCCCGGTTACATCTACAAATGGATGAGTCGAATTGTCAAAATGGTGGACGGTTGGTTGGTTGGTGGTTGAGGTGGTGAGGAGGAGGAACGGGTGTTTGACCAGGTAGAGCAAGAGTCATTGGCGAGAAAACACAAACGCATTGCCACACATACCAAGATAGGGTTTCAGGAAGGAACCAAGAAGTGAACTAACTAGTCTTGATCGTTCCTTCTGCCAAATGAACCAATGAATGACCAGCAACCTGACCTCACCTCGAAATGACTAGTGTTTGGATATGTAGTGTGTCATGAATGTAACATTAGGTTCACGTTGGTGTGAGGTGTTCGGTTATACGTTGGGTAAAGGGGAATGTGAATTATGAGACTGGCGTAAAATGCTGACCAAACCTTGTAGGAGAAAATAGAAGCGGGATGAGTGACTTCCATAGAACTTCGACAGCCTGAGAATTATCCAACACCTCTTGCTTAGGTCTTGTGTGAAGGCTGACCTAGTCGTCAAAAAAAATAACTAAAACTGTATGTATTGGTAACGTGTTGAAATGTAAGACCTCACAGAGAAGTTTAAAATCTCTGAAAAGCTGAGATAAGTCAGCTTGTTTAAGTAAGCAATGTTACGCCAATCATTTGTCACTTTCAGTCTTAATATCATCTACGGAGTTGATACCGTAGGTGGATTCCAACAGGTCACATGGTGTGTTAGTATAAACAAACAAAGAAAAGGAGAGAAGTCAGAAGTCCGGTGGTGAACTGTAATGACAGAGTGTGAACGGAGTAGCTACTAACAGTGAGTGGCAATGGCTAAATGGTAGGTGTGGCAGAGTGTTTAGGTGGTGGGGGTGGAAAACCTTGGTCAAAAATCCTTCCGCAGGAACTGGTTGGCCGGGGGTTCGAACCCTCTCCTGGACACGTTTTATTATTAAACAATTCCAAAACAGAGGGCTTTGGGCTGGACCAGTTAGAAAGCTACACATTATGTGACAGCAGCAGTTGGAAACAAAAAAACAAACAAACATGTAAGCTCCTCCCAGCAGCAAAAAGAATGGTTAGGTTGGACATCACTGCATGCATGGCTGGTGTGAGTCACTCCTGGCTGGTAGGTTGGTACTACTGCTACTACTGCTACTACTACTTCTACTACTACTACTACTACTACTACTACTACTACTACCGCTACTGCTACTACTACTGCTACTACTACTACTACCGCTACTACTACTACTACTACTACTACTACTACTGCTACTACTACTACTACTACTACTACTACTACTGCTGCTGCTACTACCACTACTACTTCTACTACTGCTACTTCTACTACTACTACTACTACTACTATTAATAATGCTACTACTACTACTACTACTACTACTGCTGCTGCTACTACTGCTACTACTACTACTACTACTACTACTACTACTACCACTACTACTTCTACTACTACTACTACTACTAATAATGCTACTACTACTACTACTACTACTACTATTAATAATGCTACTACTACTACTACTACTACTACTACTACTACTACTACTACTACTACTACCGCTACCACCACTACCACTACCACCACTACCACTACCACCACTACTGCTACTGCTACTACTGCTACTACTACTGCTGCTGCTACTGCCTCTACCGCTACTGCTGCTCCTACTACTACTACTACTACTACCTCTACTACCTCTACCACTACCGCTACTGCTTCTACCGCTACTGCCTCTACCGCTGCTACTGCTGCTACTACTACTGCTGCTACTGCCTCTACCGCTACTGCTACTGCTACTACTACTGCTACTACTACCTCTACTGCTACTACTACTACTGCTACTACTACCTCTACTACTGCTGCTGCTACTGCCTCTACCGCTACTGCTACTGCTACTACTACTGCTACTACTACCTCTACTACTACTACTACTACCACTACTACTACCGCTACTGCTGCTGCTACTACTGCTACTACTACTACTACTACTACTACTACTACTACTACCACTACCGCTACTACTACTACTACTACCACTACTACCACTACTGCTGCTGCTACTGCTACTACTACTTCTACTACTGCTACTTCTACTACTACTACTACTAATAATGCTACTACTACTACTACTACTACTACTACTACTACTACTACTACTACTACTACTACTACTACTATTAATAATGCTACTACTACTACTACTACTACTACTACTACTACTACTACTACTACTACTACTACTACTACTACTACTACTGCTTCTACTACTACCACTACCGCTACTACCACTACCGCTACCACCACTACCACTACCACTACTGCTACTGCTACTACTGCTACTACTACTGCTGCTGCTACTGCTACTGCCTCTACCGCTACTGCTGCTCCTACTACTACTACTACTACTGCTACTGCTGCTACTACTACCTCTACTACCTCTACCACTACCGCTACTGCTTCTACCGCTACTGCCTCTACCGCTGCTACTGCTGCTACTACTACTGCTGCTACTGCCTCTACCGCTACTGCTACTGCTACTACTACTGCTACTACTACCTCTACTGCTACTACTACTACTGCTACTACTACCTCTACTACTGCTGCTGCTACTGCTTCTACTACTGCGTACTCAGGTCCAACCACAGAGTCCTCTGCCAAACACTTCCTGGCCTACTGAAGGCTGGTCACGTTGCGTCCCCATTTTGCACTTTTCACATGAAGTGTGTACTTGCTCACTTTCTGACACTGGATTCAACAAAATGGTGGATACTCGCTGCGGCCAATACTCTCCAGCCTACACCAATCCTATGCTTTTAAATCCATTGACAAGAGTGCACAAGTGCACACTTCTGGAAAGGGTGGAAAATTGGCACAAAACAAAACATAAGTTGCGTGCTAGACGTGCTCAATAGAGACATAAGTTTTCCGATGTTGAAACAGTCCACCTCAGCCTAAATGGTCCACCTCAGCCTGGCGGCCCTCCCTCCCTCAACCGGCCCTCCCTCCCTCCCTCAACCGGCCCTCCCTCCCTCCCTCAACCGGCCCTCCCTCCCTCAACCGGCCCTCCCTCCCTCCCTCCCTCAACCGGCCCTCCCTCCCTCCCTCCCTCCCTCAACCGGCCCTCCCTCCCTCCCTCAACCCTCCAACGTCAACGAATGCAAAGACAACGGATAATAACGTGATCGATATGGCTTCAAGTCTGGATTTTTTTCCTCCCTGTTGACAGAATGATTAGTTACAATAAGGAAATGGAGCCCGATCTTTCTGTGCACTAGGCTTTGGTGTGACACCAGTTCACTCAGGGAGCGCTTTAGAACAGAACACCGCCAGACAAAAGTAAGATTTGTTTCCTGTGGGGACATGTGACCCTTCTTCACATTTTCCTGTCCGTCTGCCTGTGTCCGAGAACTGTCTCTGTGTTCTGAAGCTAGTCATTTGGCCAAATCCTAATTTGACAAAAATCAACTAAAATTTCAGCTGGAAATCTCCCCGGTGACGTCAATCTACGATCTGTGCACATTCCTTAATAGATTCGCTTCCCTGACCAACGGGGATAATTTATTTTGGGTATCTGTAGAGAAAATGTTCCTCTGATGTGTGTAGTTCTGAGCTAAATAACGATTGACCCGGTAGGGTAATTGGTTTAACGTAGTGGTGTAACTGTGAAAACAACCCCCCCCGTGAAACAGGAAACAAAAATTAATCTTACCTGGGAACTAAAAAACTAGAGAGACTGACAACGCAAAACACTGTTCATGCTTTGTAAATCGTACAGCTTTTCAAAAGAGAAGAAGAAGAGTTCAAGACCTAAGAGCTACTCTGCTGGCACTAGGTTATAGGATCCTAACTTCACTAAGAGTGCTGAGCTAACCATGACTAGAAACAAGGTTGTTTTCAAATTTAATTGATACGTCAGATTTTCCTTAGGGCACAGGTTTAAAATAATAATAATAATAAAAAAAGATGGCTTCTCTGCCTTCAAATAAAAGTATGTTGGACAATCTAAAATGCTTCCCCTTTATGATATGTGGATCCTAACCCGTGAGTTTAAAAAAAAAACACTGAGCTAAATTAGAATTCCCACCCCAAGGCTGTATTTAGAAGGCACGAGTACTGTTTTTAATAATGAACGAACCAGCTTCTTCCGTCATGACATGCTCCAGCACCTCCTTGGTTGAAGTTTAAAACAAGTGTTTCTAAAAAGACAAAACCATGAGCGAGAGACTTGGATGCCCAACAGATTAAAATCTACTTTAGTGGCCAGTGCTATACAGCTGCATCTCAGAACAATCTAGAAACTCGTTTTTAAAAGTGCCACCAGGGTAGTTCTCTTCGAGACCCAATCAAAAAGATAGACATTGATCTTACAGGGTTGAATTCATTTTTTGCTTGCCCAGTGCCCCCCAAGGTGGGCAGAGATTTCACATTAGGACCATTTGAAAACAGCCCACAACGTGCAAACTCCGCCCACCCCAGTGCATCCTGGACAAACTAAACTAATGCACCCATAAGCAAGGTGGCAGAGAGAAGGAAAGGGGTGTGGAATGGAGGAGAGGGGGCGACGTCTTTCCAAACCTCCTTCCCGTGGCGGGGGTGTGGCAGGGGTCTCCTCCTCTCGGATGATGGGGGAGGTCAGGGTCACGGTGACTGTCATTTTGGGGTCGGCTCCAGACGTCAGGACGATGGAGCAGTCCTGGATGGAGCCCTTCACCTCGTACTTCTCTGGGGTCACCAGCTGTCAAATCAGTCAAATCAAATCAACAGCTTGCACACAGGAAGGAAGTATGTGTAACTGTTCGAGGTGAGATGTGTTGGAGAGATGCTTCTTGATTTGGTTAATTAGCAGTTACTGGAACTGTGTGTGTGTGTGTGTGTGTGTGTGTGTGTGTGTGTGTGTGTGACTCAGCAGTGTGTGTGTGTGTGTGTGTGTGTGACTCAGCAGTGTGTGTGTGTGTGTGTACCAGAAGCTGCTTGGGTAGGTGTTCCACTATGCGACTCAGCAGGGTCTTGGTGGGTTTGTCTGAACAGAGCAGGACCAGGTTTACGTTCTTGTCTCCACGGAGAAGCAGTCCTTTAGCCAACACCCCCACCCTCATCACTCCTTTCAGAGCTCTACGGGACACAGGAGGGAGGTGTTCATTAGGTATCTAACGTTAAAAAACAGACTGAAACAGAGCAGCAGTCCTTTAGCCAAAACCCCCACCCTCATCACTCCTTTCAGAGCTCTACGGGACACAGGAGGGAGGTGTTCATTAGGTATCTAACGTTAAAAAACAGACTGAAACAGAGCAGCAGTCATTTTTTTTACATTTTAGTCATTTAGCAGACGCTCTTATCCAGAGCGACTTACAGTTAGTGAATACATATTTTTTTATACTGGCCCCCCGTGGGAATCGAACCCACAACCCTGGCGTTGCAAACGCCATGCTCTATCAACTGAGCTACATCCCTGCCGGCCATTCCCTCCCCTACCCTGGACGACGCTGGGCCAATTGTGCGCCGCCCATGAGTCTCCCGGTCGCGGCCGGCTGCGACAGAGCCTGGATTCGAACCAGGATCTCTAGTGGCACAGTCCTTTAGCCAAAACCCCCCACCCTCATCACTCCCTTCAGAGTTCAATGCTTGGGCAGGTGTTCCACTGTGCAGCTCAGCAGGGTCTTGGTGGGTTTGTCTGAACAGCGTAGGACCAGGTTAACGTTGTTGCCTCTGCGGAGCAGCAGTCCTTTAGCCAACGGCAACAGCTTGAAAGGCAATAGCTCAGATACACACAAAAAAAATGAAATGACGCCGGCAAACGATAGAACATCGCTCAGATGCACAAAAACAATATCATTCAGAAACGGGTGAATCTTTCCTTTAAGTCCATTGGTATCCCTACCTTGGCCTCTCAACAACCCCCCCCCCCCCCTCAGTCTCTCACCCTTCCCCCTCTCCTCCCCAGACACCTTGGTTTTAGCCTACCTCTCTCTCTCTCCCCCCCTCCCTCCCTCTCCCCCTCCCTCCTCCCTCTCTCTCTCTCTCTCTCCCTCCCTCCCTCCCTCTCTCTCTCTCCCCCTCCCTCTCTCTCTCCCCCTCCTCTCTCTCTCCCCCTCCCTCTCTCTCTCCCCCTCCCTCTCTCTCTCCCCCTCCCTCTCTCTCTCCCCCTCCCTCTCTCTCTCTCTCCCCCTCCCTCTCTCTCTCCCCCTCTCCTCACCTGTCTTGGGCAATCTTGGGGACCTCCTCCTCCTTCTCCTCCCCAGTAGTCTCCTTGGTCTTCTCCTGATCGGTGATGTCTGAGACCAGTTTGAGGGCTCTCTCTGTGATGGAGACGATCTTCTGGATGGCCTGCAGCTCGTCCTCAGAGGGGTAGATGGCTGCGTGCTTCGTCATCACGTAGCGGTCGTCTGACGAGTCCGGGCGACGGGGAGGCTGCAAGGGAACGCAAAAAACAAAAAATGGGTCAAATAGTCTGTATAGTGAAAAACATCAAGGGGTGTGGGCCAAAGAAAACAAGTGGAAATGTATAATACTACCACCACCTACATGGGTCTCAATGCACGGCTTTTCTGACCGGATTGATGGCTCACAGGTTAGTGTGGCTGAGGGTTGGGCATGCTGTGTGTGTGTGTGTGTGTGTGGGGACTGGTATGCTACCACAGGTCCTTGGGGCTGAGGGATGGGCATGCCAGGTCGGACCCCCAGTAGTCCAGGAGGTCCAGGGGGCCCCTGGGGGTAAGGTCCATCCCCTGGCATCCTGGGTCCCCCACGTCTCTCGTCCCAGTGGTGGTCCTCCTCCATACGACGCCAGTACATGTCCTCCTCGTAACGTCTAGAGAGACACAGGCGAGAGAGAGGGTCACTACAGTTTCTTTCCCTCTGACGTGTTCACTCGGTTAACGTAAGCGAGGACTAGCTAGGGAGATGTGTCGCCTTTTACGAGGTGTGTGTGTGTGTGTGTGTGTGTGTGTGTGTGTGTGTGTGTGTGTATATAGACTTCGGCTACCGAACTTTTTACTTTGAAAATTGTACAGAAAAAAAATAAATAAACTGCCAAACACCACAACGAACAAAAAAACATCACCATTTTGTCATAATGTCTGTGTGAACGGTTTCAACTGGGAAGCATGCAACAGGTTTTAGTGCGTGTCCCACCCCATCTCTCCGTACCTCATCTCCATCCTCCATCTCTCCTCCTCCTCTCTCCTCCTCCAGTATTCCTCCTTCTGCATCTGTTTCCTCATCTTCTCTTCCTGGATCTTCCTGGCTCTGATAGAGGGCTTCACCTCCACCTGAAGCTCCGGGTTCACCTTTTTCTACAAGGGAAACGTGTTCAGAACGGCAGTTTAAAATGGGCTCCTGGATGTTTAAAATGGGCTCCTGGCCAATTATTGAGCTCCGTTCCAGACTATCCTAGCAACGGGACCTGAAGAACTGTAATATCCTATTTTTCACAGAGTCATGGCTGAACAAGGACAATATACATCTAGCTGGTTGTTTTTTTCTATGCAGGACAGAACAGCAGTATCAGCTCAAGGGAGGATGTGTCTTTGTTAACAACAGCTGGTGTACAATCTCTGATATTAAGGAAGTCTCGAGGTTCTGCTCGTCCGAGTTATAATACCTCATGATAAGCAGTAGACCATATTATTTACCAAGAGAGTTCTCATCTATATTTATCGTAGCCGTCTATTTACCACCACAAATCGATGTTGGCACTAAGACCGCACTCAACGAGCCGTATAAGGCCATAAGCAAACAAGAAAATGCTCATCCGGAGGCAGCGCTCCTAACGGCCAGGTGATATTAATGCAGGGAAACAAATCCGTTTTACCTCATACAAGCAAAAACTCACAGGAAGTATCAGTGACACGCTCAAAATGGGAGTAGTCCGATGAAGTGGATACTAAACTACAGGACTGTTCCGCTAGCGCAGACTGGAATATGTTCCGGGATTCATCAAAATGGTACACCACATCAGTCACCGGCTTCATTAATAAGAGCATTGAAAGCCATGGATTACAGGCTAAATCCGCACTGAGCTAAAAGGCTAGAGCCGGACACTAACCCTGACACCCTCCGACAAACCATCAAACACGCAATGTGCCAATACAGGACGAAGATCAAATCCTACTGCACTGGCTCTGACGCTCGTCGGATGTGGCAGGGCTTACAAACTATCACGGATTACAAAGAGAAACCCAGCTGCGAGCTGACTAGTGATGCGAGCCTACCAGATGTGCTAAATGCCTTTATGCTTGCGTCGAGGCAAGGAACACTGAACCATGCATGAGCGCACCAGCTGTTCCGGACGACTGCTTGATCACGCTCTCCGTGATTGATGTGAGTAAGCACAGGGTCTGAATACTTATGTAAATAAGGTATCCGTTTTTTTATTAATACATTTGCGAAAATTTCTCAAAACCTGTTTTCGCTTTGTCACTATGGTGTATTGATGAGGGGAAAAAATTACTTAATCCATTTTAGAATAAGGCTGTAACGTAACAAAATGTGGAAAAAGGAAGGGGTCTGAATACTTTCCGAATGCACTGTAAGCATTTCGCTGTTAGTCTACAACTTGTTTCCGAAGCATGTGACGAATAAAATTGGTTTTGAGCTCAGCTCTGATAGAGGGCTTCACCTCCACCTGTCGCCCTCTAACGTCTCATTTAAGAGGCTATACAGAACTCGGGGGGTGCTCGAGCCAAAAAGGGGACATCCGAAATGGACAGAATTGTCCAGAAATGACCTCATTGGACAGACACGCACACCTTCCAACACCCATGAGCAAAAGCATATTGTTTTCCTAAAACTTGTGAGTTTCATTACCGTGGCCAACATAAAGGTCGACATGTTAAAAAAGTGACTCCACTAACCTTGTACTGCAGGCGGTGTCTCCTGCCCTTCAGATGCATCTCTTTGGCGTTGGGATCGTTGAAGCTGCATTCACACAGCTTACAGTGGAACCGGATCACCTTGCCTTCATCGTTACGCACCTACAAATAAGAAATACATTTGTTTTTAAAAGATGGCTATAGAAGTAAGTAATGTTTCAGATACTGCTTCATTATTCAACAGGCAAGACCGAGGTCTCTTTTTCAAATGCGCCCTGGATAATAAAACAAATAAACATTATACCCAAAATGATTGGAATTGTGTGTAATAAAAATATATACACACACACACGTTCAAACGTTTGGGGTCACTTAGAATGCCAAAGGTTGTAATTGCTGCAAATGGAGGATTCTTTGACTAAAGCAAAGTTTGAAGGACAATTATTTATATTTAAAAAATATATATATATATTTCTAACCTTGTCAATGACTACATTTCCTATTCCTTTTGCTATATTTCCTATTCAAACTCATTTCATGTATGTTTTCATGGAAAACAAGGACATTTCTAAGTGACCACAAACTTTGAACGGTAGTGTGTACACACACACACACACACACACAAATAAAATACCAAAACAGTCATGGGAAGCACAAATAAAATCACAAATCATCCAGAAAAACATCCATTCCTCCACAAATAAGTCCCCAATCAATACTTTGAATTGCCCAAACGGCACCAGAACTTAATACTGTAAAACCTTAAAAACCCAGAGTCTCAAATAGCCGGGCAACGGCAAACATCTCAGTACAGACCCCCAGAAAGCATCTCAGTACAGACCCCCAGAAAGCATCTCAGTACAGACCCCCTGAAAGCATCTCAGTACAGACCCCCAGAAAGCATCTCAGTACAGACCCCCAGAAAGCATCTCAGTACAGACCCCCAGAAAGCATCTCAGTACAGACCCCCTGAAAGCATCTCAGTACAGACCCCCAGAAAGCATCTCAGTACAGACCCCCAGAAAGCATCTCAGTACAGACCCCCAGAAAGCATCTCAGTACAGACCCCCAGAAAGCATCTCAGTACAGACCCCCAGAAAGCATCTCAGTACAGACCCCCAGAAAGCATCTCAGTACAGACCCCCAGAAAGCATCTCAGTACAGACCCCCAGAAAGCATCTCAGTACAGACCCCCTGAAAGCATCTCAGTACAGACCCCCAGAAAGCATCTCAGTACAGACCCCCAGAAAGCATCTCAGTACAGACCCCCAGAAAGCGGTCTCTCACTAGTTGCGAAAGTAATAACTGCCTAAAATGTAGTCAATTATTCGGTCCAGGAAACGTTTTTATTTTTATATATATATATATATATATATATATTTTTTTTAAGAGTAATACTAAGACAAAACATTTGTAAATTATAACAGTTCAGAAAATGAAGAAATTGATTTAAATGCTGGAAGTGAATGCTGGAATTAAACAATTAACTATGCAAATGAGCAAAAGCCTGTTGTGTTTTACATATGACATTCTACTACACCGGTCAGTCATTCGGGTGTTCTGGATGTCAACCGTACCTCTTCCACATAGTCATGTCCAACAGGCTGCACGTCACTCTGCAGGGCAGCCAGGGTGGATGCAGACAGGGAATCGGAGGACTCGTTCTTGGACTCCTGAACCTGTGGGACCAATGAGGGCGGAGGTGGTTTGGATGCCTCCATCTTGGCCTCCTCCGTCACCTTCCCAGTAGTCTGGAGCTTGTTTCCAGCTGGAGACGGAAGAATTTCAGAATCAGAAGAACCAATGACTTGCAGCTTTACAGGGAACAGATGAGTCATCCCATATAAATTTCAGCAAAGCCATGACACCCATCATCTCAGTTTGTTCTGAAATCGTTCCTGTAGTTAAAAACCTGTAGGATTGGCATTCCTGAAACATTGTTCAAATGTTATCATTTCGGAGAAATTAAGCTAATTGATTGCACCCAAATTGCCCATTTTAATTTAAAATGTAGGATTCAGATTATATTCAATAAATACAGTCCCAAACATCTGATTTGGACCTAACTTCGCATAGTTCCCAACAATCAGATGTTGGGTACTATATTTTATCTGAAGCTTATACATTTTTAAAAAATGGCCAATTTGGGTGCATTCAATTAGCTTATTTCTCAGGAGATCAAATATATATATATACACATTCAACAATAATGTTTAAGGAATGCTAATCATAAAATCGGTTACTAACTACAGAAACTATTACAGAACAATCTGAGATAGGTATCGAATCCTCTTTCTGGTGATTTCTGAGGTGGAATGACCCAGATATCAAAGAGTCTAGATCATCATAGATGAAAGCCTACATTGCTCATTAAGAAGCAACTAGATGGTCAATTGTATCTGTTTGAAGTTGGGGCATAAACAGGAAGTCAGAGAGCTATCCTCTACCAGAACATTTCATTTCAACGGGCACATGTACGTCTAGTCCAGGTGTGTGTCTCTGTGTGACAGTACGTCTAGTCCAGGTGTCTCTCTGTGTGACAGTACGTCTAGTCCAGGTGTGTGAAGATAAAAGGGGTATAGGACTGGGGTATAGGACTGGGGTATAGGGGCATAGGACTGGGGTATAGGACTGGGGTATAGGGGCATAGGACTGGGGTATAGGGGCATAGGACTGGGGTATAGGACTGGGATATAGGACTGGGGTATAGGACTGGGATATAGGGGCATAGGACTGGGATATAGGGGCATAGGACTGGGGTATAGGGGTATAGGACTGGGGTATAGGGGTATAGGACTGGGGTATAGGGGTATAGGACTGGGGTATAGGGGTATAGGACTGGGGTATAGGACTGGGGTATAAGACTGGGGTATAGGGGCATAGGACTGGGGTATAGGACTGGGGTATAGGGGCATAGGACTGGGGTATAGGGGCATAGGACTGGGGTATAGGACTGGGATATAGGGGCATAGGACTGGGGCATAGGACTGGGGTATAGGGGCATAGGACTGGGGTATAGGGGCATAGGACTGGGATATAGGAGCATAGGACTGGGGTATAGGACTGGGGTATAGGACTGGGATATAGGGGCATAGGACTGGGGTATAGGACTGGGATATAGGGGCATAGGACTGGGGTATAGGACTGGGATATAGGGGCATAGGACTGGGGCATAGGACTGGGGTATAGGACTGGGGTATAGGACTGGGGTATAGGACTGGGGTATAGGACTGGGGTATAGGGGCATAGGACTGGGGTATAGGACTGGGGTATATGACTGGGGTATAGGGGCATAGGACTGGGGTATAGGACTGGGGTATAGGACTGGGGTATAGGACTGGGATATAGGGGCATAGGACTGGGGTATAGGGGTATATGACTGGGGTATAGGGGTATAGGACTGGGATATAGGACTGGGGTATAGGACTGGGGCATAGGGGTATATGACTGGGATATAGGACTGGGGTATAGGGGTATAGGACTGGGGTATAGGACTGGGATATAGGGGCATAGGACTGGGGTATAGGACTGGGATATAGGACTGGGGTATAGGGGCATAGGACTGGGATATAGGACTGGGGTATAGGACTGGGGTATAGGACTGGGATATAGGGGCATAGGACTGGGGTATAGGGGCATAGGACTGGGATATAGGACTGTGGTATAGGACTGGGGTATAGGACTGGGGTATAGGGGCATAGGACTGGGGCATAGGACTGGAGTATAGGACTGGAGTATAGGACTGGGGCATAGGGGCATAGGACTGGGTTATAGGGGCATAGGACTGGGGTATAGGGGATAGGGGCATAGGACTGGGGTATAGGACTGGAGTATAGGACTGGGGTATAGGGGCATAGGACTGGGGTATAGGGGCATAGGACTGGGGTATAGGGGCATAGGACTGGGGTATAGGGGATAGGGGCATAGGACTGGGGTATAGGACTGGGGTATAGGACTGGGGTATAGGGGCATAGGACTGGAGTATAGGACTGGGGCATAGGGGCATAGGACTGAGGCATAGGACTGGGGTATAGGACTGGGGTATAGGGGCATAGGACTGGAGTATAGGACTGGGGCATAGGGGCATAGGACTGGGGTATAGGGGCATAGGACTGGGGTATAGGGGCATAGGACTGGGGTATAGGGGCATAGGACTGGGGTATAGGGGATAGGGGCATAGGACTGGGATATAGGACTGGGGTATAGGGGCATAGGACTGGGGTATAGGGGCATAGGACTGGGGTATAGGACTGGGGTATAGGACTGGGGTATAGGGGCATAGGACTGGGGTATAGGACTGGGATATAGGGGCATAGGACTGGGGTATAGGACTGGGGTATAGGACTGGGGTATAGGACTGGGGTATAGGGGCATAGGACTGGGGTATAGGACTGGGGTATAGGACTGGGGCATAGGACTGGGGCATAGGACTGGGGTATAGGGGCATAGGACTGGGGTATAGGACTGGGGTATAGGGGCATAGGACTGGGGCATAGGACTGGGGTATAGGACTGGGGCATAGGACTGGGGCATAGGACTGAGGCATAGGACTGAGGCATAGGACTGGGGTATAGGACTGGGGTATAGGGGCATAGGACTGGAGTATAGGACTGGGGCATAGGACTGGGGTATAGGGGCATAGGACTGGGGTATAGGGGCATAGGACTGGGGTATAGGGGCATAGGACTGGGGTATAGGGGAATAGGACTGGGGTATAGGACTGGGGTATAGGGGCATAGGACTGGGGTATAGGGGCATAGGACTGGGGTATAGGGGCATAGGACTGGGGTATAGGACTGGGGTATAGGGCTATAGGACTGGGGTATAGGACTGGGATATAGGGGCATAGGACTGGGGTATAGGACTGGGGTATAGGACTGGGGCATAGGACTGGGGCATAGGACTGGGGCATAGGACTGGGGCATAGGACTGGGGCATAGGACTGGGGCATAGGGGCATAGGACTGGGGTATAGGACTGGGGTATAGGACTGGGGCATAGGACTGGGGTATAGGGGCATAGGACTGGGGTATAGGGGCATAGGACTGGGATATAGGACTGTGGTATAGGACTGGGGTATAGGACTGGGATATAGGGGTATAGGACTGGGGTATAGGACTGGGATATAGGGGTATAGGACTGGGGTATAGGACTGGGGTATAGGACTGGGGTATAGGGGTATAGGACTGGGGTATAGGACTGGGATATAGGGGTATAGGACTGGGATATAGGACTGGGGTATAGGACTGGGGTATAGGACTGGGGTATAGGACTGGGATATAGGGGTATAGGACTGGGGTATAGGACTGGGATATAGGGGTATAGGACTGGGGTATAGGACTGGGGTATAGGACTGGGGTATAGGACTGGGGTATAGGGGCATACTCCTGAGTGGCGCAGTGGTCTAAGGCGCGGCATCGCAGTGCTAACTGTGCCACTAGAGATCCTGGTTCGAATCCAGGCTCTGTCGCAGCCGGCCGCGACCGGGAGACTCATGGGCGGCGCACAATTGGCCCAGCGTCGTCCAGGGTAGGGGAGGGAATGGCCGGCAGGGATGTAGCTCAGTTGATAGAGCATGGCGTTTGCAACGCCAGGGTTGTGGGTTCGTTTCCCACGGGGGGCCAGTATTAAAAAAATAAAAATATGTATTCACTAACTGTAAATCGCTCTGGATAAGTGCGTCTGCTAAATGACTAAAATGTAAATATGTAAATGCAGAACAGAGCAGGGTTTTCCTTAGCCGGTAACAGCAGGCTTTTGGCCTATTCGTTTATTTGAAAACCAAAATCAATAAGATTGGTGCTTGTCAATTGTCAGAGAGGAGAAGAAAAAATGTGATTGTGAAATAATGCTTTTTAGCCTCTTGACTGATGGAAATACATTTGACTGTCATGTCTATCGGTCTTTTCCCCCGTGCTTTGAGGCCAGTTCGGTTTGATAAGAAAAAAATGTAATCACAGTTTGATTTCCCCCTGTGAACCATTAGTGCTAGAAAATCGTAATTTAAGTAAATCAAAAGTTATTGATTTGGCAAATGGCCCTTCTAAATGTTCCATTCATACGTATTGAACGACCCCTGACCTCCAAAATATGAAGACTTAGTAGTAGAGACGTGCTTTGGATATGTCAACTGGGAACTAGTCCTGAAATGGTGTTTAAAGTAGCTAAACTATCTTGTTCCAAACCCAAGAAATGTTTAAAGATCTCCTAATTACCACATCGCCATACCACTTTGGGCTAAGTCAACCCAGGTACTGCAGCCCAAGGCTTTGACCAACACTCTTCTCCTTTGCAGGGTCAATCTAAGAAGTACAGTGTGCATGCAAAAAGTATTTGTCTGTGGACTAATGCACTCCAGAAATACAGTCCCAAGGTCAAAGCCTTCATATTTTACACAGAGGTCAGCGGTCGTTCCATACAGATAAATTTAACATTTTGAAGGGCCATTTGCCATATCAATAACCTTAAAATTCCACAGAGAAATTTGATGCGGTTATAAAGTTACAGATAAAAGTCAGTAGTTGATTAGTGAAAAGGTTTTGGAACGTTAGCCATTGTTAATTTTGTGGCGTTGTCTGCTTGGTGCAGTCAAGGCTAGTTATAGTTAGGGTTAAGAGCGGTTTCAAAGAGTTATAGTGGGCTCCCTGGTGGCGCAGCGGTCTGGGCTCCCTGGTGGCGCAGCGGTCCGGTCCTGGGCTCCCGAGTGGCGCAGCGGTCTAAGGCACTGCATCGCAGTGCTTGAGGCGTCACTACAGACACCCCCCTGGTTTGATTCCAGGCTGTATCACAACCGGCCGTGATTGGGAGTCCCATAGGGCGGCGCACAATTGGCCCAGCGTCGTCCGGTGTAGTAAATAAGAATATGTTCTTAACTGACTTGCCTAGTTAAATAAAGGTTAAATATATATATTTTTTTAAATATTTAGGGTTAAGAGCGGTTTCAAAGAGACCCTATTGGGATGTAAACGCATGACTATCCGAAGAAAAAATAAATAAACGTAGTTGTCATTCACACTTCACATACTCTGTAATAGCATGTTTTAAAACAGACATCAGACTAGAATGATACTGTTAAGATATAGTTAGAGTTAATTTTGTAAAACAAGATTAGAGTAAAGAGGATGCGTGATTATCTGAAAACAAAAATGAAATTGTTGTTCACAATGTTCTACACTGAACAAAAATAAAACGCAACATGTGAAGTGTTGGTCCCATGTTTCATGAGCTGAAATAAAAGATCCCAGACATGTTCCACACGCACAATACAGTGTGATTCTCTCAAATGTTGTGCCCAAATTTGTTTACGTCTGTGATAGTGAGCATTTCTCATTTGCAAAGATAATCCACCTGACAGGTGTGGCATATCAAGAAGCTGATTAAACAGCATGATCATTACACAGGTGCACCTTGTGCTGGGGACAATAAAAGGCCACTCTAAAATGTGCAGTTGTGTCACACAACACAATGCCAAAGAGGTCTCAAGTTTTGAGGGAGCGTGCAATTGGCTGGCTGACTTCAGGAATGTCCACCAGAGCTGTTGCCAGAGAATTTTAAATGTTAATTTCTCTATCATAAGCCGCCTCCAACGTCGCGCAGACCACGTGTATGGTGTCATGTGGGTGAGCGGTTTGCTGATGTCAACATTGCGGAGAGTGCCCCATGGTGGCGGTGGGTTTACGGTGTGGGCGGGCATAATCTACGGACAACGACATTTTATCAATGGAAATTTGAATGCACAGAGATACCGTGAGGAGATCTTGAGGCCCATAGTGGTATGGCATATCTGTATTCTCAGTCTGAAATCCATAGATTAGGGCCTAATTTATTTATTTCAATTGACTGATTTCCTTATAATGAACTGTAACTCAGTAAAACCGTTGAAATTGTGTAGCATTTATATTCTTGCTCAGTATAAAATAGCCATCAACATTATTCTAGAAAACACTTTAAATATAGGTTGAGTTTACTTTGTAAAACTGGGTTAGGGTTATGGTTTCAAAGAGACCCTAGTTTTAGAATTTGAGTTATTCAGTGTTTAAAAAAATATATAATATAAGTTTACAGTTGTTTGTCATGAACATGGAATGTGTCTAGTCATTTCCTACAAAAAGTTAATAAATTCCCCCAATAGATAAAGCATAATAATTAAATTATATGTATTTTTGGTACAGCCGACAGGGACTCTTACCTACGACTCAGTTTGAAATTGTCATAAATCCAAGAATAAAAATGAGAAGCCATTGTACAGTTAACAGAGGAGGCTGTAGGAACATTACTATAAAGGCCCCGCGCGACAGGCCCAGAGCGAAGATGAGAAACCGAGAGATAGAGATGAGAAAGAAGAGAGGAGAACCTCTGTCAGAACAGTATCTGTCAGAACGCTGGCCTTCGCTTAACCGGCCTCAGCTTGGCCTGGCTTCAACCTCAGAGACTGGCAGTGATTAATCTCCCCATTGGCATGGACAGCCAACTAGGGCTGACCTCATTTAGTTGACTGTTTGGTCGACATGTTTTCTTAGTCGGGAAGTGGTAAATATATATAAATAATTTATGGCATAGGAGACACCCGTCTGATTCAGGCCTGTCTCAGTGGACTAATCCAGACACCCGTCTGATTCAGGCCTGTCTCAGTGGACTAATCCAGACACCCGTCTGATTCAGGCCTGTCTGAGTGGACTAATCCAGACACCCGTCTGATTCACACCTGTCTGAGTGGACTAATCCAGACACCCGTCTGATTCAGGCCTGTCTCAGTGGACTAATCCAGACACCCGTCTGATTCAGGCCTGTCTCAGTGGACTAATCCAGACACCCGTCTGATTCAGGCCTGTCTGAGTGGACTAATCCAGACACCCGTCTGATTCAGGCCTGTCTCAGTGGACTAATCCAGACACCCGTCTGATTCAGGCCTGTCTCAGTGGACTAATCCAGACACCCGTCTGATTCAGGTCTGTCTCAGTGGACTAATCCAGACACCTGTCTGATTCACGCCTGTCTCAGTGGACTAATCCATTGCGGATGCACACCAGTAGTACCATTAATTAACATAATATATAATCTACAAATGTTTGTTTACGGTAATTTCTGTTAATGCATTCAATATATTATTATTATTATTATTATTATTATTATTATCTTACCGTTGTCATTGTAGGAGTGGACACGTTGTTTGCAGAGCGCACAACCTAGGCTACACTTGAGATTATTATTATTTTTTTTATTTCTTTTCATTCCATTTATGTGCTGTCAATTTATTAATTGTCTTTTGTTTGGAGCGCTTCTGTCAATCTTGAGTAAGGACACGCACCTGATTACGCATTGAAGTAGGTCTGGGCTACCTGGCCTATAAAATGTGCCAATTTGGGGGGGAAAAAGTGTAATGCTCTGATACTGTGGAAACGTCATAAACAAAATAGGCCTACCTGATTATTTGCGCAAGTGATAAGAAGTAGACTACCGCTGTATGTCTGCCCGAAGCTCACTGGTGAGGGAAACTGAGGGCCAGGGAATATTTTCTACAATGTTGCAAGTTTGCTAACATAAACTTCGGGCCAGACCAAGTTAATAGTTGATACAATGTTTTAAGTTCCATGCAGACAGGCCATGCGTAGCCAATGTGATTTATAGGATATTTATTTTCATCAGGATATTTTCGACCTGCAGGCTGCAAAGTTTTTATTTGTTGGCTTTATGTAGGCTAATTTTACACAGTTGGCAATAGAAGTTACTTTTGGATTTGTATTATTTTTATTTAGATATAATTTTTGATTAACCACATGACAATGATTTTGAGATATGAAGACTATTATAAATTAAATGAAACTAAACTCCACAAAAATGTACATATGAAAATCATAACTGGCACGCAGATCAGTGGAAATGGTGCGATAACTTGGCACTCCAAATGGAAAAGGTTGCCGACCGCTGGTGTCACCATTACCGGCAACTTCAGGAGCGTAATGGTAGAATCTGCGAAGGCCAGCAGCGCGGGGGGGGGGGGGGGGGGGGGAGAGACATTTTTCTCTTCTGGTTAGGCTATATTGATCTCTGGTTCCCTCTTTAGTAATTTGTGCGTCTTCATTATTTCAAATCGCAGTGCTTAACGCATCAGACAAGCTCAGTAGCCTACATATAGTTGATTATATTAAAACATAGGGTGTGTCTATATGGAAAAATACACGTTTAAAAATGTAGACCAATTGTTCGAAGGAACAGACTCTCGGTCGACCAATATTAAAACGTTTTTTTTTGTCGGGACAGCCCTACTGCCAACATTGCGTTGCTACACAATCCCATCCAGACTAGTGCAGACTAAGCCCCTTTTCATTAGACTTTCATCAGGGACCATGTTCCACATTGCAAAGCCTATTTCAATAGGGGGCAAAACGGTCATATAAAATAGCCTATGGTTTCTTGAAAAGAGAAAAGACTAAATTAAATCCTATATTAAAGTCTTTCGGTGCTTGATTATAATTAAAAAAACAATTTATACAAGATATGTAACACAGAGAAGAAAAACAGCCCCTTCTTACCAACAAAGTTGATCTTGGGGGTGTTGACTTTCTTGACAGCTACGGATAGGCTGTTGACGGCTGGACCCTTCCCTAGCCCAGCCCCGACACTACCCTGGCTGACAATGTTGACCGGTTTCAGGTAGGAAGAGTTCGAGGTGGTGGAGCCTGTGAGGGTGGTGGAAGAGGAAGCAGGGGTCTTGGAGGGGGCGGCCGTGGTGGACGAGGGGGTCTGGGTCACTACACTGGGCTCCGTAGAAGGGATGGGCTTCCCCAGCTTGGTGTGGAGCTTCACCACCTTAAAAAAAGATAACACAGGGAGCAAGAGAGACATTTTAGCAGTACTTCTCAACCAGCGGGCCTTGGAAGTTTCAGAGAGTCCTGAAAAAGATAAACATTTAAAAGCTTTTCAGTGGGCTTCAGCACAAAACCTGCCTGATCCTATAGAATGTCAGCTGCATCAAAACCTGACTGATGATATGTAACGCCAGCAGTGAAAAAATACAAATAAAAAATGGGGTTTGACTGACTGGCTCAGGATTAATATATTAGAAGACGTGACCAACACGGCACTGCAGATAGAGGTCGTGTTCCCCAGCCCAGACCTTACAATGCCTGGATAGGTATTTTATGCAATCTGGTGCCCGATGACGTGGCACGCAACAATTGGTTGCAATGCAACGTCTGAGCAGGGGAACATGACCAGATGAGTGGACTTCATAGACTGAGTGAGTGCCATTGGGTGACCAAAGAGCTTCCTCCTCCTCTAATCCGCCCTTTGGAGGTCTGGAAGTATTTGATAGGGGTTTTTGCCCCATTACGCAGACAGACGCCAACAATAACAGACAGCTACAGCTGAAATCCGAAGTTTACATACACCTTAGCCAAATACATTTAAACTCAGTTTTTCACAATTTCTGACATTTAATCCTAGTAAGAATTCCCTCGTCTTACGTCAGTTAGGATCACCACTTTATTTTAAGAATGTGAGATGTCAGAATAATAGTAGAGAGAATTATTTCTTTCAGCTTTTATTTATTTCATCACATTCCCAGTGGGTCAGAAGTTTACATACACTCAATTATTATTTGGTAGCATTGCCTTTAAATTGTTTAACTTGGGTCAAACGTTTCGGGTAGCCTTCCACAAGCTTCCCACAATAAGTTGGGTGAATTTTGGCCCATTCCTCCTGACAGAGCTGGTGTAACTGAGTCAGGTTTGTAGGCCTCCTTGCTCGCACACACTTTTTCAGTTCTGCCCACAAAATGTTCTATAGGATTGAGGTCAGGGCTTTGTGATGGCCACTCCAATACCTTGACTTTGTTGTCCTTAAACCATTTTGCCACAACTTTGGAAGTATGCTTGGGGTCATTGTCCATTTGGAAGACCCATTTGCAACCAAGCTTTAACTTCCTGACTGATGTCTTGAGATGTTGCTTCAATATATCCACATAATTTTCCTTCCTCATGATGCCATCTATTTTGTGAAGTGCACCAGACCCTCCTGCAGCAAAGCACCCCCACAGCATGATGCTGCCACCCCGTGCTTCACGGTTGGGATGGTGTTCTTCGGCTTGCAAGCTGTCCCCCTTTTCCTCCAAACATAACGATGGTCATTATGGCCAAAAAGTTCTATTTTTGTTTCATCAGACCAGAGGACATTTCTCCAAAAAAGTACGATCTTTGTCCCCATGTGCAGTTGCAAACCGTAGTCTGGCTTTTTAATGCCGGATTTGGAGCAGTGGCTTCTTCCTTACTGAGCGGTCTTTCAGGTTACGTCGATATAGGACTCATTTTACTGTGGATATAGATACTTTTGTACCTGTTTCCTCCAGCATCTTCACAAGGTCCTTTGCTGTTGTTCTGGGATTGATTTGCACTTTTCGCACCAAAGTGCGTTAATCTCTCGGAGACAGAACGTGTCTCCTTCCTGTGAGGTATGACGGCTGCGTGGTCCCATGGTGTTTATACTTGCGTACTATTGTTTGTACAGATGAACGTGGTACCTTCAGGCGTTTGGAAATTGCTCCCAAGGATGAACCAGACTTGTGGAGGTCTACAAAAAAATGTCTGAGGTCTTGGCTGATTTCTTTTGATTTTCCCATGATGTCAAGCAAAGAGGCACTGAGTTTGAAGGTAGGCCTTGAAATATATCCAAAAAGGTACACCTCCAATTGACTCAAATGATGTCAATTAGCCTATCAGAAGCTTCTAAAGCCATTACATCATTTTCTGGAATTTTCCAAGCTGTTTAAGGGCACAGTCAACTTAGTGTATGTAAACTTCTGACCCACTGGAATTGTGATACAGTGAATTATAAGTGAAATAATCTGTCTGTAAACAATTGTTGGAAAAATTACTTGTGTCATTCACAAAGTAGATGTCCTAACCGACTTGCCAAAACTATAGTTTGTTAACAAGAAATTTGTAGAGTGGTTGAAAAACAAGTTTTAAATCACTCCAACCAAAGTGTATGTAAACTTCCGACTTCAACTGTAAGTAAAGCCTAGTACCATGACTCAGTATTTCTGGAACTCCCCTCTGTCTGGTTCTTTGGGTCTAGGCCAGGTAAATGTAAAGCACTGTGACAACTCCTTTATAAATGGATACAGAGGGCTTAACACAAACATTTTTAAAAAATCCTGCAGCCTACCTTCTGGTGCTTGGCCCCTCTGATGTGTGCAGCGTACGCATCGGCGCCGGTGCAGGAGACGTCACAGAGCTCACAGTGTAGCTGGTTCTGAGTCCCCCGGGCCGAGCCCACCCCTCCACCACCGCTGCTGCTGCTCTGGGACACCTTTAGGGCAGTCTCCTTCTTCTTGTGCTTCTGGCCCTCCAGGTGTTCCTTGTAGGTCTGGGTGGAGGAGAGGGAGAAACAGAGTTCAGGTGGGACTTCACATCAATACACTGCAGACTGAGTTCAGGTGGGCCTTCACATCAACACACTGCAGACTGAGTTCAGGTGGGCCTTCACATCAATACACTGCAGACTGAGTTCAGGTGGGCCTTCACATCAATACACTGCAGACTGAGTTCAGGTGGGCCTTCACATCAATACACTGCAGACTGAGTTCAGGTGGGCCTTCACATCAATACACTGCAGACTGAGTTCAGGTGGGCCTTCACATCAATACACTGCAGACTGAGTTCAGGTGGGCCTTCACATCAATACACTGCAGACTGAGTTCAGGTGGGCCTTCACATCAATACACTGCAGACTGATTTCAGGTGGGCCTTCACATCAACACACTGCGGACTGAGTTCAGGTGGGCCTTCACATCAACACACTGCAGACTGAGTTCAGGTGGGCCTTCACATCAACACACTGCGGACTGAGTTCAGGTGGGCCTTCACATCAATACACTGCAGACTGAGTTCAGGTGGGACTTCGCGCTTCAACAAACAAAAAGGAACAGAGGGTTGCTCAACAACGACAAAAATCATGGGAAGGGCTTACTAAGAAAAACATCCAAAAGGACTAATTTGCGGTAGAAAGGAGTAGGCGCACTCCACAAAAAAAAAGCAGAGATTGCTGTATTTTAGCTCACTTTAATCCATTGCACAGGATGTGAACAGGTGACCGACATTAGGACATCCCTCAGAGTGACCTGACCATTGCGCTTAGCTCCTATTTCTAGCCCAGTGGCCCATTGAGACAAGGTAACAAAATAAATGATAGGTTTCAAGGTAAATATATATAGCACAAAATAACGCTAATAACAAAGAGAAAGTGTGTCCGGTTAATCAATAGGCCATGACAAAATATACACAGGTGATTATTTGAATCCAGAGAAGCAGAGACCCCATGAATGCCTCTACTTTAGATGCCACCTCCTCTTGGTGAAATTTGGACGTGTTCAACGGCTACAACGTGCCGGAGGAAGGGGGTTGGCTTCTACAATAGTCTGTTTTTATTACTAAACGGCAGCCTTATGTTCTGAGATGGGGAGATTCAACGCACGTTTAGTTTGACCAATAGAAGCAGACCCTCAGATGCATTTGACCATGTACACACAAAATATGTAGACATCCCTTCAAAATTAGTGGATTCGGCTATTTCAGCCACACCCGTTGCTGACAGGTGTATATACATCGAGCACACAGACATGCAATCTCCATAGATAAACAAACATTGGCAGTAGAACGGCCTGTACTGAAGAGCTCAGTGACTTTCAACGTGGCACCGTCATAGGATGCCACCTTTCCAACAGGTCAGTACGTCAAATTTCTGGTCAACTGTAAGTGCTGTTATTGTGAAGTGGAAACGTCTAGGAGCAACAACGGCTCAGCCGCGAAGTGGTAGGCCACACAAGCTCAGGGAACGGGACCGCCGAGTGCGGAAGTACATAGAGCGTAAAAATCTGTCCTCGGTTGCAACACTCACTACCGAGACCCAAACTGCCTCTGGAAGCAACATCAGCACAATAACTGATCGTCGGGAGCTTCATGAAATGGGCTTCCATGGCCGAGCAGCCGCACACAAGCCTGAGATCACCACGCGCAATGCCAAGCGTCGACTGGAGTGGTGTAAAGCTCGCCGCCATTGGACTCTGGAGCAGTGGAAACGCGTTCTCTGGAGCGATGAATCACGCTTCACCATCTGGCAGTCCGACGGACGAAACTGCCATTAGGGCCTGGGGGCAGCTGTATGTCGTGTGGAATTGGCTAGATTGCACGCACTGCGAAAACAAATGCGAGGGGGCAATGTTGTGAACTCCGGTAGATTTGAGGATGTTCGTGACCGGCACATGGGCTGTACTCCGTGGAAAAACAGTTTCTATTAGTGCCAGTGAGTAGGATTTGAATTGCTGTTTCTCTAAAACACAGGTATAGGCCTGTTCAATGACACTTACCATACCGAGTTGCAGGAACCTGGTGTGCATATCATTAGCTTTGTGCTCCAACTCCATGTCTGCACTAGAGTTAGGTTTTAGGTTTAGCAGAGGGGAGCGGAGGCTAGATCCTGACCTGCCAGTCATTATAAATCATTATCATGGTGAACCTTTAAATTTACTTTCTCATCAAGTAGCACACAGTAGTATCAGTCTCTGTGCTAACCTACGGACAGGTAAGGAGAGAGGGCTGAAAGGATGGCCAGAGAGGGCTGAAAGGATGGCCAGAGAGGGCTGAAAGGATGGCCAGAGAGGGGGACAGACCCAGAGAGGGGGACAGACCCAGAGAGGGGGACAGACCCAGAGAGGGGGACAGACCCAGAGAGGGGGACAGACCCAGAGAAGGGGGACAGACCCAGAGAGGGCTGAAAGGATGGCCAGAGAGGGGGACAGACCCAGAGAGGGGGACAGACCCAGAGAGGGCTGAAAGGATGGCCAGAGAGGGGGACAGACCCAGAGAGGGGGGCAGACCCAGAGAGGGGGACAGACCCAGAGAGGGGGACAGACCCAGAGAGGGCTGAAAGGATGGCCAGAGAGGGGGACAGACCCAGAGAGGGCTGAAAGGATGGCCAGAGAGGGCTGAAAGGATGGCCAGAGAGGGGGACAGACCCAGAGAGGGGGGCAGACCCAGAGAGGGGGACAGACCCAGAGAGGGCTGAAAGGATGGCCAGAGAGGGGGACAGACCCAGAGAGGGGGACAGACCCAGAGAGGGCTGAAAGGATGGCCAGAGAGGGGGACAGACCCAGAGAAGGGGGACAGACCCAGAGAGGGGGGCAGACCCAGAGAGGGGGACAGACCCAGAGAGGGGGACAGACCCAGAGAGGGCTGAAAGGATGGCCAGAGAGGGGGACAGACCCAGAGAGGGGGACAGACCCAGAGAGGGCTGAAAGGATGGCCAGAGAGGGGGACAGACCCAGAGAAGGGGGACAGACCCAGAGAAGGGGGACAGACCCAGAGAAGGGGGACAGACCCAGAGAAGGGGGACAGACCCAGAGAGGTGTTCTGACCTGTGGTCCGGCACAGCTGATCTTACAGACGTCACAGTAGTGGATCTGTGGTGGTTTGGCCGGCAGCTTGGGCTTCAGCTGCTTGCTCTGTGGGAGGTCAAATGTATTTTAATCTTAAGAATAAAAGATATGTATGTATGTATGTATGTATGTATGTATGTATGTATGTATGTATGTATGTATATATATATATATATATATATACACACATATACATACACACACACACACAGAAAACACTAATAGAAATATGACCTGGAAGGGAGGTTTCTTGGTGAAGGAGCTGCCTGTCCAGGCTGAAGCTGCCACGGCCGCCACGGCCTGTTTCTGCTGCTGCTGCTGCTGCTGGTGGTAGTAGTTTGAGGCAGCCGAGTACACCGCCGCTTCATAGCCAGAATACGACGTGCCTTGGGGAGGAGGGGAGGTTTTAGACGGGGACACAGGGAGAAGAGGAGAGGAGGTTTTAGACGGGGACACAGGGAGAAGAGGAGAGGAGGTTTTAGACGGGGACACAGGGATAAGAGGAGGGGAGGTTTTAGACGGGGACACAGGGATAAGAGGAGGGGAGGTTTTAGACGGGGACACAGGGATAAGAGGAGGGGAGGTTTTAGACGGGGACACAGGGATAAGAGGAGGGGAGGTTTTAGACGGGGACACAGGGAGAAGAGGGGAGGTTTTAGACGGGGACACAGGGAGAAGAGGAGAGGAGGTTTTAGACGGGGACACAGGGATAAGAGGAGGGGAGGTTTTAGACGGGGACACAGGGAGAAGAGGAGAGGAGGTTTTAGACGGGGACACAGGGAGAAGAGGAGGGGAGGTTTTAGACGGGGACACAGGGAGAAGAGGAGAGGAGGATTTAGACGGGGACACAGGGAGAAGAGGGGAGGTTTTAGACGGGGACACAGGGATAAGAGGAGAGGAGGATTTAGACGGGGACACAGGGAGAAGAGGGGAGGTTTTAGACGGGGACACAGGGAGAAGAGGAGAGGAGGTTTTAGACGGGGACACAGGGAGAAGAGGAGAGGAGGTTTTAGACGGGGACACAGGGATTAGAGGAGGGGAGGTTTTAGACGGGGACACAGGGAGAAGAGGAGAGGAGGATTTAGACGGGGACACAGGGAGAAGAGGAGGGGAGGTTTTAGACGGGGACACAGGGAGAAGAGGAGAGGAGGTTTTAGACGGGGACACAGGGATAAGAGGAGGGGAGGTTTTAGACGGGGACACAGGGAGAAGAGGAGGGGAGGTTTTAGACGGGGACACAGGGAGAAGAGGAGGGGAGGTTTTAGACGGGGACACAGGGATAAGAGGAGGGGAGGTTTTAGACGGGGACACAGGGATAAGAGGAGGGGAGGTTTTAGACGGGGACACAGGGATAAGAGGAGGGGAGGTTTTAGACGGGGACACAGGGAGAAGAGGGGAGGTTTTAGACGGGGACACAGGGAGAAGAGGAGAGGAGGTTTTAGACGGGGACACAGGGATAAGAGGAGGGGAGGTTTTAGACGGGGACACAGGGAGAAGAGGAGAGGAGGTTTTAGACGGGGACACAGGGAGAAGAGGAGGGGAGGTTTTAGACGGGGACACAGGGAGAAGAGGAGAGGAGGATTTAGACGGGGACACAGGGAGAAGAGGGGAGGTTTTAGACGGGGACACAGGGATAAGAGGAGAGGAGGATTTAGACGGGGACACAGGGAGAAGAGGGGAGGTTTTAGACGGGGACACAGGGAGAAGAGGAGAGGAGGTTTTAGACGGGGACACAGGGAGAAGAGGAGAGGAGGTTTTAGACGGGGACACAGGGATTAGAGGAGGGGAGGTTTTAGACGGGGACACAGGGAGAAGAGGAGAGGAGGATTTAGACGGGGACACAGGGAGAAGAGGAGGGGAGGTTTTAGACGGGGACACAGGGAGAAGAGGAGAGGAGGTTTTAGACGGGGACACAGGGATAAGAGGAGGGGAGGTTTTAGACGGGGACACAGGGAGAAGAGGAGGGGAGGTTTTAGACGGGGACACAGGGAGAAGAGGAGAGGAGGTTTTAGACGGGGACACAGGGAGAAGAGGAGGGGAGGTTTTAGACGGGGACACAGGGAGAAGAGGAGGGGAGGTTTTAGACGGGGACACAGGGAGAAGAGGAGAGGAGGTTTTAGACGGGGACACAGGGAGAAGAGGAGAGGAGGTTTTAGACAGGGACACAGGGATAAGAGGAGGGGAGGAGTAGAAGAGGATACAGGCCATGAGCCAGACAGTCGGGTAGGCAGTGGTGAAGTTGGTTACAAAATTACGGTAACAATCCCAAAATTCATAGAGGTTTTCCAGAAATCCCAAATCCTCGCTTATTCCCTCCAGATTCCAGGAATACTCCAACTGGGATTTCTGGAAACCTGGGTGGGAATTTTGGGGGGAAAAAAGTTGCCAAATTTTGCAACCCCCTAGGGGTATTTGAATGCTTACCAGAGTAGGCGACTGGGTTGGTGCTGTACGTGGGGCTCTGGGAGTACGTGACTGCGTTGGTGGAGTAGGTGGTCGGCAGGTAATGCATACTGGTCACAGCTTGCATGTCGTGCTTACCAGAGTACGTGGTGGGGCTCTGGGAGTACGAGGGGACGACAGAGGCGGCGGCCACAGGCTGAACGGTGGAGGAGACGGGGTAGATGGAGAAGGTGGAGGTGGCGGGGGAGGGCGCGGCAGGCTTGACGGCCGTCACCTGCCTGGTCTGCGTGTAGGGTGTCAGACTGGCCTGGCTGTAGCCTGTTTTAGGAGCTGCAGAAGCAGAGACGTGAATATTTGCACGCCGACATGCTGCATTGCTAGGTTTCCATCCAATTGCCGACATTTCCATGCAAATTTTCAAAATAAAATCTGCATAAAAATAAACCAATATGCACATTTTCCCACTACAGATGTTTACATCAAATTGACATGCTGCAGGTAAAAAGCCTGTGAGTGATGTTCAACTTTACTGATACTAAAAAATAAAAAATAAAGTGTTATATAGCGAATGTGCCCACTCTGGAATTGGGAAGTGCGCTCTAGCCAACAGTTCACTGATAAATTAGCCGTTTCCATCAGGCCTGTAGTGAGAACTTTATCCAAGACGTAATTTTACTCGCAAAAAAAGGTTGCTGGAAACCTGGTTTATGATACACAAAATAATATCCTAACAGATTCAATAAAGACATCGCCAAAGTCAAAGTAAATTCAGTGAACTGTAAGCCGTTCTGCACGGCTATATTCATATTCTATTGAAGAGACTTCGTGATAATATCCTTTACAGTAAACGAAACAATATCATTGTTTTCTTGAAGAATTTACTAAAATGGCACAGACATGCAAAAAAAAAAAAAGGAGTGATTATCCACCTCATATTTGAACACTTAAAAACACGGAAGCCAAAACGCTGAAAACTATGGATACAACTTCTTCCACGCTCCCGCATTATCATAATTCACATGCACGCCACTGGCAATCCAGCCTATACTGGAGTTTTGTACTGAATTGGAAACAACATTATTCATTACATTGTGTTGTTGTAGACTACGTAGGATAAATGTTTTTTTTAAACCTAAAAATATCTTTTGGAGCTGGTACCAGTGGACTGGGGAGAGAGTAGCTCCCTAGGATTTATTTCCGATCAACTTTTTTTCCCCCCCTCTCCTTTCACTGTGTAAATTGACTGGATATATTTCACTGCAGTATTAAGCCTAACATTGAGCTAATGAATTATGGGCTAATATGCAAACGCTTCTGACTTAGGATATATCTGGAGCCTGTCTTCATTGTTCTGTTGCGCAATTACTCTTGAGCAATGAGGCAATGACATGCGGTAAAAGATGCACAGGCTAAACGGCGTTTGTTGTTTAAATTTAAATACAAGTTGTTATATTAGTTGTTTTCATTAGGCCTACATGTACATTGAAGTATTATTAGCAGTTGTCACTATGACAATGAACACCCCCTGAAAGCACTGAATGGTCTGAACCAGTATCTGTGGGTTAGAGACCTCATGGTCTGAACCAGTATCTGTGGGTTAGGGACCTCATGAATGGTCTGAACCAGTATCTGTGGGTTAGAGACCTCATGGTCTGAACCAGTATCTGTGGGTTAGAGACCTCATGAATGGTCTGAACCAGTATCTGTGTTTTAGAGACCTCATGAATGGTCTGAACCAGTATCTGTGGGTTAGAGACCTCATGAATGGTCTGAACCAGTATCTGTGGGTTAGAGACCTCATGGTCTGAACCAGTATCTGTGGGTTAGAGACCTCATGAATGGTCTGAACCAGTATCTGTGTTTTAGAGACCTCATGAATGGTCTGAACCAGTATCTGTGGGTTAGAGACTTCATGAATGGTCTGAACCAGTATCTGTGGGTTAGAGACCTCATGAATGGTCTGAACCAGTATCTGTGGGTTAGAGACCTCATGAATGGTCTGAACCAGTATCTGTGTTTTAGAGACCTCATGAATGGTCTGAACCAGTATCTGTGGGTTAGAGACCTTATGAATGGTCTGAACCAGTATCTGTGGGTTAGAGACCTCATGGTCTGAACCAGTATCTGTGGGTTAGAGACCTCATGAATGGTCTGAACCAGTATCTGTGGGTTAGAGACCTCATGAATGGTCTGAACCAGTATCTGTGTTTTAGAGACCTCATGAATGGTCTGAACCAGTATCTGTGGGTTAGAGACCTCATGAATGGTCTGAACCAGTATCTGTGGGTTAGAGACCTCATGGTCTGAACCAGTATCTGTGGGTTAGAGACCTCATGAATGGTCTGAACCAGTATCTGTGGGTTAGAGACCTTATGAATGGTCTGAACCAGTATCTGTGGGTTAGAGACCTCATGGTCTGAACCAGTATCTGTGGGTTAGAGACCTCATGAATGGTCTGAACCAGTATCTGTGTTTTAGAGACCTCATGAATGGTCTGAACCAGTATCTGTGGGTTAGAGACTTCATGAATGGTCTGAACCAGTATCTGTGGGTTAGAGACCTCATGAATGGTCTGAACCAGTATCTGTGGGTTAGAGACCTCATGAATGGTCTGAACCAGTATCTGTGTTTTAGAGACCTCATGAATGGTCTGAACCAGTATCTGTGGGTTAGAGACCTCATGAATGGTCTGAACCAGTATCTGTGGGTTAGAGACCTCATGGTCTGAACCAGTATCTGTGGGTTAGAGACCTCATGAATGGTCTGAACCAGTATCTGTGGGTTAGAGACCTCATGAACGGTCTTGTCTTACCACGTTATTAGGCAGCATGCAGTCGGATGTGTTGATCAATTGATTGACAGGTGCAGAACAGTAAACTATAATCTTTCCTCTAGTGTGGATGCTCACCAACGCTTTATAGTAATGCAGCCTATAGTTTCTCATTATAGTTATCGGCTTGGTGGATGGCTTTAATAACGTTAGTTGTGGTAGTTAATTATCACAACAGAACTAGCCTACTAAGTAGGTCTAGCTAACGTTACCGAACTTGAATTAAATAAATATGAAATTACACGTAGACTTGTTCACTTGAATTTTATACTTTATAAAATTGACTCTTTCAAATAATTGACTCTGGCAAGTGAAGCGGAAGTCTAATCCGTCACTTCCGTTGTTTGGCTGTGCCCCATCGCAACGTTCAAAAATGGAGGTGGATAGTACGATGAACACGTATTAATTGAACGTCCAAATCAAAGGAAGGACTATATCTAGTAATTGTAAGGCCGCCATCACCTGGTAGGGTTTTCTTCCACGTGGTGTCCCAGGATGTGTTAAGGGAAGCGGTCTGGTAGTAAGCCTCGGCCGTGGGTTGGGGCTGTACGGCTACCGCAGCGCTAGCTACGGGTTGCTGGTAGTACTGCTTAGGGTCGTAGGTTACCGCCGGCGCCGTGGACCGCACGTAGGAGTAGGAGTCCTGAATGGGGCGGGGAGAGCACAGGGGAGTCTGTCAGGAAAAACATCAAATACGGGAGGTTTATTCACCTTTATTTAACCAGGTAAGCCAGTTGAGAACAAGTTCTCATTTACAACTGCGACCTGGCCAAGATAAAGCAAAGCAGTGCGATAAAAACAACAACACAGAGTTACATATGGGGTAAAACAAAACATAAAGTCAATAACACAACAGAAAATATATATAGAGTGTGTTCAAATGTAGTAAATTATGGAGGTATGTAGCTAAAACTACATTCATGGTTTAAAAACATTGGATTGGTGTTCACACATGGTAGGAGGGAGGTTAAGAGCGTTGTGCCAGTAACCAAAAGGTCGCTGGTTCTAATCCCCGAGCCGACTAGGTGAAAAATCTGTCGATGTGCCCTTGAGCAAGGCACTTAACCCTAATTGCTCCTGTAAGTCGCTCTGCTAAATGACTAAAAATTTAAATGCATGACGGGGAATCTGCAGGTGCAGGAGTGCAATAAGAAACGTATTTTGACGTAATTTACAAAGTTTTTCAAACCTATTTAGCCCTGAGCTAACATCACAGCAGCGCCTGCACAGTAGGCCTAATTGAAAACATTGGCAGGAGTTTTGATCACAGCTGACAGGAGTGCAGGGGGTAAAGATGATCCCAAGCTGCAGTTTAAAGTCTCTCCCCCCAATCATTCAGCTGTTCTGTGATAAAAAAACAAAACAGAATCTGGGCTTAAAAATAATGAGACTTTAAAAAAAAAAAAAAGGATTTTGATTCAATCTGTCTTAAGAAAAATAAATAAATGTTAAAGCCTAAAACCTGAGGTGACGCTCCAAAATAACGAATGAAATGGGGACCCTTATCAACGCTTCTGTAAAATAAGTTAAAGAAGCTTAGAGGGAAAAGAAGTCTATTAGCCATTTCTACACCAACCATTTCCTGGTTCGTTATTACCCAGGGTACATTTCAGCATGAAAAAAAATGAATAAACACTCAAACAATGTGTTGAATTAAAACAATGAGTTACCTGGTAACCCACCTGGTAGTTCTGGGAGGTGACCGGGGGAGGAGGCGGGGGGACGTCCGGCTGGCGTTGGGCGTAGCCGTAGTCGGCGGTGGCGTGCGCCGGCTGGTACCCTCCGTAGGCCGCGGCGGTGGCTGCTGCTGCCACGGCGACGGGGGCGGGCCTGGCTACGGCAACTGTGGCGCCGGTGGGAGCGTAGGCTGCTGCCACAGTGTGGGCCGCCACCGGCGCCTGGTGTACCGTGTAGCTGGCCACAGTGGTAGGGTGGGAGTAGGCCACCGGGCCCGCCTGCTGACTGGAGAAGGAGGGAGGAGAGAGAGAGAGAGACACAGAGAGAGACAGAGAGACACAGAGAGACACAGAGACAGAGAGATAGAGAGAGAGGGAGAGAGAGAGATCAGATGTGGTGTGACTGCTGACTGGAGAGGTAGGGGAATATTAAGGGTGAGGCAGAGTTCTGATAGCAGGTCATGTCTGCAGGATTTTCCATAAGCGCGGCCGTCTGCTAAATAGGCGATCAGACTCATTGTAAGACGGCTTCTTTTTCCACTTCATAAATGAACTAGGCTTCTTTTCAATTTTAAAGTTTTAAATTCGCTGGGTCGTAAAAAAAAGTCTATGACCTTCTCCCGCTAGAATGAACGATATGCATCTTCTAGTGATCTATTGATAGGACAGGGGTCTGTCAGTCACGAAGCCAGCGATGACAGGGACACACTGCCGGTTTGACAATCCACCGTTTGTCCCACCTCTCAGTACCAGTGTTATTTTTTGTACGCTGTGGTTGGCTGCAGTCAACATGTATTTTCACGGAAGAGGGAGAGCATTATGCTTCTTCATTGTCTACTGTGAGTGAAATTACATGGCTCGTGTAATGGAAGTGGTAACGATGAGTTGAAATCCACTTCATTGTTGTTTCACAGGCCTATACAGCCACTGAGTCGGGCGCAAAGGCTATTTACTGTGCTTTGATTGATGACCGAACAGCAAGTGTGGACTTGTTTATGTAAAAAGGTGTCGAACTGACTGAATAAAGACACTTTCCTATATCCCTTTGCTATTCATAAATCATAGAGCGTAGTTATGCCCATGGTATCACGTCGGGACAGTAAACCAAAAAGATCTTGTTTGTATTTTCCTAGGATTCGAAGCCCATGTCCAGACTTGCCAGTGACCGCTGAAGTGACTCAACGGTGATGGGTTGTTCGCGAACGAACGGCTCTTTTTGAACGGATCTGTTCATTTGGCTCCCTAATTTGCAGGCTACTGTGGTGGTCCTCCGTAGCTCAGCTGGTAGAGCATGGCGCTTGTAACGCCAAGGTAGTGGGTTCGATCCCTGGGACCACCCCCCATACACAAAAGATTTATGCACGCTTGACTAAGTCGCTTTGGATAAAAGTGTCTGCTAAATGGCATATTATTATTATTACTACTACTGCTGCTTTTTGGCGATTATCTGCAGATAAATTCTGAAAACATTCGATGAAGACGTTGAAGCATCACTGCAGGAACAATACATAGTGAGAGAGAGAGCCTCATTCTGGTGCAAAATATAAAATCTAATGTAATGATACTTATATGGTATTGTTAAAGATATTGATATAGGTCTACTGATTTGATTAGTGTCAACAATGGAGTAATCAACTGCTGCTTTCTGTGTAGCAAAGGCATGTTTAACACCTGCTTCAATCTTGAACACGTTGGTCTATTGATGGACGCCTGACCTTGTATAAAAGCCGGGGTGCATAATCTGGCGGGGGATCCTCCCCCTGAAAATGTATGCATTTTTAAAAAATATAACATTTTCCTGCAATTCTATTTTGTTTCTCAACAGGAAATCCATGTTGACTTCACAGAACAACATTTTCTCTAAGGTTTTAGCCTCAAAGTAAATTGAAAGAGTAAACTAATCTACAAACTTCCCTCAAAGTCCCACAGTGATTGATTGACAGGTGTAAAACCCTACCAACTCCGTGACGCAAACATCCTGCCCCCTCCCCCTGACAATCCACTCACAGTGATTGACAGGGCAAATGTAAAAGGGATAGTTTGGTTTCCTTACACTAAATATCAGAGCAGCAAATCATTCATTTGAAGGACATCACTGTGGCTGCCTCTCTTCATCCACTATACACACAAAAGTATGTATATTTCAATGCGAGAACAGGTTCTGAGTCTGACGACACTGATGCGGGAGGTAACCACCACATATTTGGACACCCCTCCTTGTACAGTAGCCCTATTATAAATTATAGAAACAGTCCTGACCAAATACTGAACCAAAACGGGAAGGAGTTAGTGCATCTCTGTCGAGCCTTAGGCCTGTACATGCTTAATGGTAGAATCAGAAGGGACTCTTTAACATGAACCAATCGTACAGATGGGCTCCAAACAGTGCAAAGAAATTAATTGAACTCAAATGAAATGATGAACTCTATACAGACAGAGAGAGACAGCGAGAGAGGCAGCGAGAGAGAGAGGCAGCCAGACAGACAGCCAGCGAGAGAGGGAGGCAGCCAGCCAGACAGACAGCGAGAGAGGGAGGCAGCCAGCCAGACAGACAGCGAGAGAGGGAGGCAGCCAGCCAGCCAGAGACAGAGACAGAGGGAGCTACTTTTATGCATAGCCTATAGATCAAGGAACCAAGCAACAACCATACAGATCCTATTTATTACTAGAGGGGCCATGTCATAAACCCGCAACGTTCCATAATGGGTCGAAAACGGCAGCCATCTTCTTCAGGGAGAAATCCAAAAGAATGAATGGCAGTAGAGGTAATGCATTTCCTGCTTTTACTGATGCAGGACAATATGGCATGTGCTCTGTTAGAAATGTGTCATAGTTATAAATACTGTCAATGACTTTTATACAGATTCTGTATAAATAGGATCTAAATGTAAAACAGACCATGTCTCAGATTTTGTTTTCTTGGAAAGCTGTGAGTGATATATATATATATATATATATATATATATATGATACAATATCAGTACTTGCTGCATTTACAAGTCGTCTAAATCCTATCATCAACTGATTTCAGCCAGTGTGTGGCTGTGGATTGACTGCATTGTTTGAATGAAATATGTTGGCATATTGGCAGTTAATTTGAACAATTAATGGAATCATTCATCCAAAACTGTCTAGCTAGTTAACACAGTGCAGGCAAATTCTTCACATTGATTGTTTTACACAATATCTAATCACAGCACTGGCAAACCATGGTTGACCATCTACCTGACAAAAATGGCTGACTTATCACATCATAAGGTTTATGACCATTCTAGTATTCTAATTCTATGGCGACAACACTGCCCCCAACCGCTCCCCAAGGAATAGTATGGCGCGTCTCAGATTCCAGGTAGCACAAAAGTATGTTGAATGCCGGAGCATATTACAAAGAGCCGCCCGTTGGTGACGTAAACAATAACATTAGCTACTCTCCTTTTCTACTAGGGGTGTAACAGCTGTGAACCACAGTTCGGGACTTATTGCAGTTTTGGGGGGGGGACACGGTTTGGTACAGCAGGAAAATGAAAAGCCAACTGTTGCTGTAGTGAATTTGTTTATTTAAGAAAATATTTTTAAAAAAGTGTTGGTTTTCCTGATTCCATATATGATCATGAGTCATGATGAGCGCACCATCAGGAATTAACACTTTTCTTAAAATGAAAACATGATTATGAAGTGCAACATGGATGTGAAATCAATATGTAAAACATTTTATAGGCCTACGCCTATAGATATATAAAAATATGCGCACTTGTGCGACTCTCACAAAGGAGGCATGTCTGTAGCATGGTACTTCTCATTTCCCACTCCTGGGGTCACGTCGACATCCCCTCCTGGGGTCACGTCGACATCCACTCCCGGGGTCACGTCGACATCCACTCCCGGGGTCACGTCGACATCCACTCCCGGGGTCACGTCGACATCCACTCCCGGGGTCACGTCGACATCCACTCCCGGGGTCACGTCGACATCCACTCCCGGGGTCACGTCGACATCCACTCCCGGGGTCACGTCGACATCCCCTCCCGGGGACACGTTGACATCCCCTCCCGGGGTCACGTTGACATCCCCTCCCGGGGTCACGTGACATCCACTCCTGGGGTCACGTGACATCCACTCCTGGGGTCACGTGACATCCCCTCCTGGGGTCACGTTGACATCCCCTCCTGGGGTCACGTTGACATCCCCTCCTGGGGTCACGTGACGGACTTTCACTGTTAAGTAGCTCTCTGTAGCCCTGCAGGTCCATCCAGCTGTGGTAAGCTCAACACAGTGTGCGTTACCCAATTCATTGGCAACGACAACGTCGGCTTTAGCTTGCTTATATAGGAGTGGGTACTACCCATTCGCTGAAATGGGTGCAAGGGGGAAGTTTAACGTAGCTCGACCACTTTTCACGGTGCTGAAACCCCTTATTCTTCTCAACCGTCGAGAACGGGCTCTACTCAACCGTCGAGAACGGGCTCTACTCAACCGTCGAGAACGGGCTCTACTCAACCGTCGAGAACGGGCTCTACTCAACCGTCGAGAACGGGCTCTACTCAACCGTCGAGAACGGGCTCTACTCAACCGCCGAGAACGGGCTCTACTCAACCGCCGAGAACGGGCTCTACTCAACCGCCGAGAACGGGCTCTACTCAACCGTCGAGAACAGGCTCTACTCAACCGTGTAGGATAATTGTTATCGCAACGCACCGACAAACAATGCCTTTATAATTCACCCTCATGTATTAGGCTAATAAAGTCTATTTGAATAGTCCTGCGCTTCACTTCATTCAAAGCCTACTCCTCTATTCTAAACTCCAGCTGGTGCGGCTGGCTGTAGTCTGAGAATATGATCTATTTCTAATGAGTCGGTTAATAATTCAAAGCGGCTGGTGAGAATTCAATAAGACTACATCCTCAAGCTGCCTGGTCGCCATGGTTCCCAACATCCCGCCGAGCTCCAACCGACCGATCTGTAAGTCACAGTTAAACAATGTGTGGAGTCGGTGTGTGTGTGTGTGTGTGGGGTGAAGTGGATAAGCGTCACCCATTATAAAAATTACCTGACGCACCCAAGGAGGCAAAACGGTGGTATCAGCCACAGAACAAGTGCCACCTCCAACACAGGCCTTGAGCTACTCCTCTCTCCCACTAACACATGGAGAGGCTCACTCCAATGAGCTCAGCGCCATAACCTACAAAGAGGTTCCAAAACGTAAACGTCAACACATTACATGACTGAGGCTTGTGTCAGCAACCCTGCAGTAACAAGGCATGTCATCTACCTCCTGTGCCTGGTTTTGTGCACAAACCACGTTGGTGACATTTGGTGGGATGCAAAAAACAAACAATCATGGGGAAGAGGCCCTTTCATAAAACGTTTACAAAAATAAAAACACATTTAATTTCCACTGGCGTGGTGATGATCCCATACTACCACCACATAAGAGGTGGATTTATGGCTGGGCAATATATTGAATTACTACATTACATTTACGTTTTAGTCATTTAGCAGACGCTCTTATCCAGAGCGACTTACAGTTAAGTGAGTGCATACATTTTCATACTGCCCCCCCCCCCCCCCCGTGGGAAACGAACCCACAACACTGGCGTTGCAAGCTCCACGCTCTACCAACTGAGCTACAGGGGACATAATGTTCAAAATGCCTGTATCGCAAGAATCAAGTGGTTTTTAATTAGCATTTTACTTTTCACAGATGAAAGATCACTTCTTCCTCTGACAAGCAGTTTCAACTCATTATTTGCATCTAAGGTTTGGTCCAACCAAGGTTATTATAGTAAACTAAAACTAAATCATAAAAACCAATTTAGTAAACAGAAATAAAATTAACAAATAGTTGAAAAACTAAGACTATCGTCGACTCCAAACCGAAATAAAATGAAAACCATGAATTATGTTCAGCTTTAGTTTCCTTCCTTCAATTTTGGGCAAAGATTTGAATGGAGTTTAAGCTTCCCCCCCCCCGAATGGAGTTTAAGCTTCTGAATCTGGCGGGTCACGTTGAGATTGACTTGAATTTAAAAGAACATAGACTCAGCGACATGACGTTGCCACGAGCAGCAAGTCGAGTTCCCCTGCTCAGACGTTGCATGCATCAACCAAGGGGTTGCGCATCACGTCGTCGACTGTGCAGTCGGCCACCAGATTGCGATAACGTGTCGGTCGTGTTCCTCTGCTCAGACGTTGCTGACCTTACAACGCCTAAATAGCTATTATACGCATCAGCTAACTACATATGGTATAGAAGTCTGGTGCTCGACTGTACAGTCGTTGACGTGGCACGCAACCTACAGTGAGGGAAAAAAGTATTTGATCCCCTGCTGATTTTGTACGTTTGCCCACTGACAAAGACATGATCAGTCTATAATTTTAATAGTAGGTTTATTTGAACAGTGAGAGACAGAATAACAACAACAAAATCCAGAGAAACGCATGTCAAAAATGTTATAAATTGATTTGCATTTTAAATGAGGGAAATAAGTATTTGACCCCCTCTCAATCAGAAAGATTTCTGGCTCCCAGGTGTCTTTTATACAGGTAACGAGCTGAGATTAGCAGCACACTCTTAAAGGGAGTGCTCCTAATCTAAGCTTGTTACCTGTATAAAAGACACCTGTCCACAGAAGCAATCAATCAATCAGATTCCAAACTCTCCACCATGGCCAAGACCAAAGAGCTCTCCAAGGATGTCAGGGACAAGATTGTAGACCTACACAAGGCTGGAATGGGCTACAAGACCATCGCCAAGCAGCTTGGTGAGAAGGAGACAACAGTTGGTGCGATTATTCGCAAATGGAAGAAACACAAAAGAACTGTCAATCTCCCTCGGCCTGGGGCTCCATGCAAGATCTCACCTTGTGGAGTTGCAATGATCATGAGAACGGTGAGGAATCAGCCCAGAACTACACTGGAGGATCTTGTCAATGATCTCAAGGCAGCTGGGACCATAGTCACCAAGAAAACAATTGTAACCCACTACGCCGTGAAGGACTGAAATCCTGCAGCACCCGCAAGGTCCCCCTGCTCAAGAAAGCACATATACAGGCCCGTCTGAAGTTTGCCAATGAACATCTGAATGATTCAGAGGAGAACTGGGTGAAAGTGTTGTGGTCAGATGAGACCAAAATCGAGCTCTTTGGCATCAACTCAACTCGCCGTGTTTGGAGGAGGAGGAATGCTGCCTATGACCCCAAGAATACCATCCCCACCGTCAAACATGGAGGTGGAAACATTATGCTTTGGGGGTGTTTTTCTGCTAAGGGGCAGGACAACTTCACTGCATCAAAGGGACGATGGATGGGGCCATGTACCGTCAAATCTTGGGTGAGAACCTCCTACCCTCAGCCAGGGCATTGAAAATGGGTTGTGGATGGGTATTCCAGCATGACAATGACCCAAAACACACAGCCAAGGCAACAAAGGAGTGGCTCAAGAAGAAGCACATTAAGGTCCTGGAGTGGCCTAGCCAGTCTCCAGATCTTAATCCCATAGAAAATCTGTAGAGGGAGCTGAAGGTTTGAGTTGCCAAACGTCAGGCTCGAAACCTTAATGACTTGGAGAAGATCTGCAAAGAGGTGTGGGACAAAATCCCTCCTGAGATGTGTGCAAACCTGGTGGCCAACTACAAGAAACGTCTGACCTCTGTGATTGCCAACAAGGGTTTTGCCACCAAGTACTAAGTCATGTTTTGCAGAGGGGTCAAATACTTATTTCCCTCATTAAAATGCAAATCAATTTCTAACATTTTTTACATGCGTTTTGCTGGATTTTTGTTGTTATTCTGTCTCTCACTGTTCAAATAAACCTACCATTAAAATTATAGACTGATCATGTCTTTGTCAGTGGGCAAACGTACAAAATCAGCAGGGGATCAAATACTTTTTTTCCTTCACTGTATGATCAGGAGCACTTCACACTGCCACAACGTGGTAGCTACTGTCCCAAAACAGCAGAGAAGTTTAGCCTCGCACTCCTGGTTGTTGAGGAAATGTACCCACTACGACTGTTTACTTGTTGGATCTTTGTCATCTCGCTGAGTCTACCTTTAAACCTAACCTATGACCTGACACACCACTGTGGGGCAGTATAAGGTGCTAAGAACTGACGTCCAAAAACACAACTATAACAGATGGGAGGCTATACGGACACGCCTGGTTCTCAAATTGATGTTGCGCAGTTGAAAGTCGAGTGAATTAGGTTCAATTAGTTTGGTCACTCGTCCTGATGATCCCTTCCAAGCCAGTGTGTTTCCCAGCTAGCTAGTTTATGGCGCTAGTTAAACCTAATAGTTATTTTACTTTGATGGGCGACCAACTAATAACTTTTAGTATTGATCCCCATCTGGACGTCACCGTGACATGCCAATTCGCTAACTTTAAAGACAATCCAGTGCGAATGGCCAGTGCAACGTTGTTGTATCGGAGGTGCTTCCCACCGGGCAGCTGCATCACATCGTCGGTAGCCCATTTTATTTTATTTGGAGTAGAAAGGCAGCCTACATGAGCAATCACTTGTAATAATTGGTAGTAACCATATGGATGTCGCCGTGATTCAGTCTACTGCTGAGTTTGAGCACCATGGTGCAGTGTCCTTCGCTTGTCAAGCTGTTACGTAAAGGAGAGGGAAGTAGCTAAATAGTTTAGCTAATATCAGGCCAGGAAGGAGAGGGAAGTAGCTAAATAGTTTAGCTTATATCAGGCCAGTAAGGAGAGGGAAGTAGCCAATATCAGGACAGGGCGACAGCTAAAGCACATTTATTGTACCGATATTCACAGAAAGTGTACAACTACAGCATTCATATCTACATTAGTGTTTTAAAAAAAAAAAAAAACGAACAATTACTCTGATCAAAACGGAATGATTCTGAACCCTCAAGTGTTTCAAATTCTTGCAGAAATATCTAGCCACAACCATAGACTAAGCTAGCTGGGAAGGTCTCATCAGGACAACTGACTGAACTGAATCCTTTAGTCTCCACTCTCAGCTGTGTCCAAATAGCCTCTGCTCCTAGCCTCCCACGCATAGGCTACTTTCTGTCCCGAACAATAAATCTAAAAACAAAATAGAAATGTTTTTATAAAACTAAATTAAAAATAGTTACCTCAGACCTGAAATCTAACTTATGATTTTTATTTGAAATTCAGTTTAACTAAAATAAAAACCCAAACGATTATAACCTGGACACCAAAATACTGATTTACTGTAATAGAGGATAACTTAACCTTTCTAAATGATACCCTTGGGTCTCAACTCCCAAAATTCAGAACAGAGGAGACCCTACTAAAACCGAGAGTATCAATGAACATGATTGCTCAGTTTGTTGTTACATGCAGCATCTAAACAAAGTGAACAGGCTGTTGTTCCAACAGTTGGAGACGGACAGGAGGGTGTATTGATAACAGTTCAACCTTGCTGGCAGACTTTATAAAAGATTAGCTTGCTACTCACTAGCATGTGGGCTTGTGCTTGAGATTATTTAGAAAACGTGTCAATTTTCTATAATGCCTGTTACCAGAAGTTGGTAATTATTAATGAATTGTGCATGGTTCTGTTATTACAAAAAAAAAAAAAGGGCTTTTTCATAGACTTGAAAGCCAGATCAATTACTGGAATAAAAGCTGGTTAACCTATTTTTATATAAATAATTACATTATTACTGGATCTTATAGTTGTGGAAGGCTTATATTTAGCAAGTCCTGAATTAATTAGATTATTCCTGGGTGTTTGAAGAGCAGTGTATTGACCTTTAAATTGTGCAACAAAGCTTATTTAGAGAAAACAAAATTGAGATCGTGAATTTCCCCTAAGTTTGAAAATAATAAATCGAGATAGGCCTAAAAATCTAAAATCACCCATGTGGATTTAGCCAAGAAATCCTAGTGTCCATCATCCCTGATTCCAAACAGGAAAGAAGCCTCGGCGTAACCTAGACAACCGTTTGGGTCATGAACTCCCAACTAGGTCCATATGAAATCCATCAACCTTGTAGGATAGTCTTTGAAGCCCAACCCAAAACAATGTCGTATCACAGCTGCAAAATGTCATTCGCTCACGCGCTGGCTCTCCCCCAAAGAACTGAATCATCATAACACCAACATCATTCCTCAATTCGGTCAGACAAATTCTGGTCTACAAATATGTTCATTTAGATTTGTCAAAATTAATTGGGTGCCAATTCCTCATAGTTAGCCAGACTCAGTAAGTCTTAAATAAAATAACATTTAATTTCTGGTTTAATAGGCTACATCTCAATTAAAGCTTTATTTGGCTTTGTGTCACTTCCAACGTTATTAAAATGAAGTTTTTGCACACAAGAAATGAATCACTGAAGATGCTGCTGCCCATTTCTTTCATTATGGATGCTTTCTGTCACACAGTTGGTCTCCATGACCACTAGGGATGGGAATTGCCAGTGACACCACGATACGATATTATCACCATACCTAGGTGCCGATAAGACACGTATTGCGATTCTCACAATTCGATACTGATTTTTATTTGCGATTCGATGTTCCAAACACCATAAGTCTGCTGCAGAGGGACAAGACAGCCGTGAGAAAACTAGTTTTGATCAGTCAGTTCAGAGCACAGGAGGCTGGTGTCAGCTTAATTGGGGAGGACGGGCACGTGGTAATGGCTGGAGTGGAATAGGTATCGCCACATGGTTTCCATGTGTTTGATGCCATTCAATTCGCTCCGTTCCAGCCATTATTATGAGCCGTCCTGCCCTCAGCAGCCTCCACTGGTTCAGAGGGTTGGCATGGCGATGGCGTTTTGTCTAGCGGCCAGCCAGCCGACAGGGAAGAAAGGGAAACCATGCTCTGCCTGTTAATGCCATGAAGAACAGCCTTGGTCTAAATGTATTGAAAGTTTAAGTAAATAACAGCACAACTAAAGTATGTTGTCATTAAAAATGTTACCTGAGCACCTTCGTTGTAAACTTTCATTTGTAGGCTAGGTTGTAGCCACCTCATGATGGGTATAGGGAAAATGTGAGTATCATGTAGTAGCCTAAACCTATGGATGTTACATTGAACTGGGTGAATGGAATATGGATGACGGTCATCCGATATGCTCTATTCTATCAGCATATTGACTGTAGCACTCGCGCTGGAAAAAAGCTGGACCATTGTTACAGTAATTTCCACTATCTGACCACGACTCCATTTTGCTCCTCCCTTCCTATACGCAGACACTCAAAACAGGAAGCACCCGTGCTTAGGACTATTCAAAGCTGGTCTGACCAATCGGAATCCACGCTTCAAGATTACTTTGATCACGCGGACTGGGATATGTTCTGGGTAGCCTCTAAGAATAATGTAGACATATACGCTGAGTGGGTTTATAAAAGGAAGTGTATAGGAGAGGTCGTACCCACTGTGACTATTTAAACCTAGCCTAACCAGAAACCGTGGCTTTTAGTTCCTCTGCGTACATATCACTGACAAACTGAAATGGTCCACCCACACAGAGTGTGGTGAAGGCGGCGCAACCTCAGGAGGTGGCCTGTCACCTAACACTTTTACAGATGCACAATTGAGAGCATCTGTTGGGCTGGCTCACCGCCTGGTACGGCAACTGCACCGCACGCAACCGCAGGGCTCTCCAGAGGGTGGTGCGGTCTGCACAACGCATCACCAGGGGCAAAATACCCGCCCTCCAGGACACCTACAGCACCCGATGTCACAGGAAGGCCAAAAAGATCATCAAGGACAACTACCACCCGAGCCACTGCCTGTTCACCCCACTATCATCCAGAAGTCGAGGACAGTACAGGTGCATCAAAGCTGGGGACGAGAGACTGAAAAACAGCTTCTATCTCAAGGCCATCAGACTGTTAAAAACAGCCATCACTAGCACCGAGAGCCTGCTGCCTACATACACTTGAAAAATCACTGGCCACTTTAATAAAGGGAACACTAGTCACTTTAATAATGTTTACATATATTGCATTACCCATCTCATATGTATATACTGTATTCTATAGTATCTATTGCATCTTAGACTTTGATAATGACATTGCTCATCCATATATTTATATATTCTTATTCCATTCCTTTACTTAGATTTGTGTGTATTGGGTTTTCGTTGTAGAACTGTTAGATATTACTTGCTAGATATTGCTGCACTGTCGGAACTAGAAGCACAAGCATTTCGCTACACTTGCAATAACATCTGCTAACCATGTGTTTGTGACCAATACATTTGAAGTCATACTAATACGAGTGTCCCGGATTTAGATTTAGTCTATGAGACCAGGCTGTCTCCCCATCTTGGCACTCCCTCACAATTGTAAAAAATATTTCGGAAGCTGTAGAAATGCATTTATTAAAGGTCTATATTCGTTTTTTTTGCCACATTTATTCTATTACAGACACCTTATTGAATTATTTTTAAATATGTGAGCTAAACATAAGATATATAAGAACATTGTCCTTAAAGTATCATTTTTTTAAGATGACCAATCAAATCAAATCAAATTTTATTGGTCACATGCGCCGAATACAACAGGTGCAGACATTACAGTGAAATGCTTACTTACAGCCCTTAACCAACAGTGCATTTATTTTAAACAAAAAAGTAAGAATAAAACAACAACAAAAAAGTGTTGAGAAAAAAAGAGCAGAAGTAAAAAATAAAGTGACAGTAGGGAGGCTATATATATACAGGGGGGTACCGGTGCAGAGTCAATGTGCGGGGGCACCGGCTAGTTGAGGTAATATGTGCATGTGGGTAGAGTTAAAGTGACTATGCATAAATACTTAACAGAGTAGCAGCAGCGTAAAAGGGATGGGGTGGGGGGGCAGTGCAAATAGTCCGGGTAGCCATGATTAGCTGTTCAGGAGTCTTATGGCTTGGGGGGTAGAAGCTGTTGAGAAGTCTTTTGGACCTAGACTTGGCACTCCGGTACCGCTTGCCGTGCGGTAGCAGAGAGAACAGTCTATGACTAGGGTGACTGGAGTCTTTGACAATTTTGAGGGCCTTCCTCTGACACCGCCTGGTATAGAGGTCCTGGATGGCAGGGAGCTTTGCCCCAGTGATGTACTGGGCCGTACGCACTACCCTCTGTAGTGCCTTGCGGTCAGAGGCCAAGCAGTTGCCATACCAGGCGGTGATGCAACCAGTCAGGATGCTCTCGATGGTGCAGCTGTAGAATTTTTTGAGGATCTGAGGACCCATGCCAAATCTTTTTAGTCTCCTGAGGGGGAATAGGCTTTGTCGTGCCCTCTTCACGACTGTCTTGGTGTGTTTGGACCATGATAGTTCGTTGGTGATGTGGACACCAAGGAACTTGAAGCTCTCAACCTGTTCCACTACAGCCCCGTCGATGAGAATGGGGGCGTGCTCAGTCCTCTTTTTTTTCCTGTAGTCCACAATCATCTCCTTTGTCTTGGTCACGTTGAGGGAGAGGTTGTTGTCCTGGCACCACACGGCCAGATCTCTGACCTCCTCCCTATAGGCTGTCTCATCGTTGTCGGTGATCAGGCCTACCACTGTTGTGTCGTCGGCAAACTTAATGATGGTGTTGGAGTCGTGCCTGGCCATGCAGTCATGGGTGAACAGAGAGTACAGGAGGGGACTGAGCACGCACCCCTGAGGGGCCCCCGTGTTGAGGATCAGTGTGGCAGATGTGTTGTTACCTACCCTTACCACCTGGGGGCGGCCCGTCAGGAAGTCCAGGATCCAGTTGCAGAGGGAGGTGTTTAGTCCCAGGATCCTTAGCTTAGTGATGAGCTTTGAGGGCACTATGGTGTTGAATGCTGAGCTGTAGTCAATGAATAGCATTCTCACGTAGGTGTTCCTCTTGTCCAGGTGGGAAAGGGCAGTGTGGAGTGCGATAGAGATTGCATCATCTGTGGATCTGTTGGGGCGGTATGCAAATTGGAGTGGGTCTAGGGTTTCTGGGATTATGCTGTTGATGTGAGCCATGACCAGTCTTTCAAAGCACTTCATGGCTACAGACGTCAGTGCCACGGGTCGGTAGTCATTTAGGCAGGTTATCTTAGAGTTCTTGGGCACGGGGACTATGGTGGTCTGCTTGAAACATGTTGGTATTACAGACTCAGTCAGGGACATGTTGAAAATGTCAGTGAAGACACTTGCCAGTTGGTCAGCACATGCTCGGAGTACACGTCCTGGTAATCCGTCTGGCCCTGCGGCCTTGTGAATGTTGACCTGCTTAAAAGTCTTACTCACATCGGCTACGGAGAGCGTGATCACATAGTCGTCCGGAACAGCTGGTGCTCTCATGCATGCTTCAGTGTTGCTTGCCTCGAAGCGAGCATAGAAGTGGTTTAGCTCGTCTGGTAGGCTTGTGTCACTGGGCAGCTCGCGGCTGTGCTTCCCTTTGTAGTCTGTAATAGTTTTCAAGCCCTGCCACATCCGACGAGCGTCAGAGCCAGTGTAGTATGATTCAATCTTAGACCTGTATTGACTCTTTGCCTGTTTGATGGTTCGTCGGAGGTCATAGCGGGATTTCTTATAAGCGTCCGGGTTAGAGTCCCGTTCCTTGAAAGCGGCAGCTCTACCCTTTAGCTCAGTGCGGATGTTTCCTGTAATCCATGGCTTCTGGTTGGGGTATGTACGTACGGTCACTGTGGGGACGACATCATCGATGCACTTATTGATGAAGCCAGTGACTGATGTGGTGTACTCCTCAATGCTGTCTGAAGAATCCCTGAACATGTTCCAGTCTGTGCTAGCAAAACAGTCCTGTAGCTTAGCATCTGCGTCATCTGACCACTTTTTTATTAGCCGAGTCACTGGTGCTTCCTGCTTCAGTTTTTGCTTATAAGCAGGAATCAGGAGGATAGAGTTATGGTCAGATTTGCCAAATGGAGGGCGAGGGAGAGCTTTGTATGCGTCTCTGTGTGTGGAGTAAAGGTGGTCTAGAGTTTTTTCCCCTCTGGTTGCACATTTAACATGCTGGTAGAAATGAGGTAGAACGGATTTAAGTTTCCCTGCATTAAAGTCCCCTGCTACTAGGAGCGCTGCATCTGGCCAATGTTACTGTCCCCACTACAACAACAAAAAATACATGTAATTTTGTCCTTGAAACATTGAATTGAAATACTGTAGAATTCCATTAATTCCTATGGAGGACTGCTCCTACTGGGGAGTGACAATATGGCCGACAGGTGGCTTCAAAACCTCTCATGACCAATTCATAGCATCAGCAATCCAGGATTTAGATACACATTGCTTACTACCCCCTTGAGAAAATTCAGACAAATTACTAGACACACTTGATTCGCGCAATCAGTATACGACATCTGACAGAAGCAACAAAAGTAATAAATTATATTACCGAAGTGTTCTTGTACCGAATTTCGGTATACCGTAACAGTACTACAATCTGTAGCTACTGTTGGGAGAGTGTCATTCGTGACCTCCGTCGGAAGCGTAGGAGACGTGAGAAACTTGCACGTTTTTCGAGAATCGATACCTCTCGAAATTCTCATCGTTGAGAACAGACCCTTATTCTTAGCTGGCCAGCCACTGGCAGATGTCTGCTCTGCACAATCCTTACTATTCCGCCCCCCCCCCCCCCTCCCCCAACTTGAAACAATAGCAACCTAGCTACGGGGCCATCACAGCGGCTACACAACCGTAAATTGGCCTCGAGCGGTGATGGATCGCATATCTCCCAAACGAGTCGTTTCTTACCTGTACTGCGCAGCAGCACCGTGGGTAAATCCAAAGTAGTTGCCGGTAGCCATTTTGGCATCTTCACCAAGCCGGCTGGGCACTGCAGAGAAGGAACAGATACATTGAGGGTAAACGGTAGGCTAGCTAGCTAGTTACTGTTAGCAGCGATACCCCCGCATATTAGTGCAGAGGCGTAAAACAAGAAAAGATAGCACCTTAAGACACACCCGACCAAACCCAGCTTTCCCCGTAAACATGATACATAATTAATAGTCTTGAAATGTATTTATTTGTTTGTTTTTATAAACATTTACTCACCATAGGTGAAGGAGACCACTGGACATATGGGAATCATTTGGTTCGTGTTTCTCAGACGACGAACTCTGACTCATAACCCTGCGTATGCGTTTTATATGAGGTCGGACCAGGAAATGGACCCGCACATGCGCGCTACACGCAGACGTGATGGGAATTGTAGTTCTACTAGGCCGATCGATTTGTTTTCCTCAAGGTCGACTGACTGTGCCATAATATGATATCAAATCATAGACAATATGAAATGTGTCTATATGCATTGGGTCTAACTAACTGTTATAAGGAAGTAACACCATTCATTGGTTATATTAAAATAGTATAATATGCCATAGCAGATGCTTTTATGACATAGGTGGTTCGGAGCCTTGCATGATGATGAGTAACCTTGCCGGAGAGCTGAAGACAGCTTTAGCTCAGTGGGATAACAGTCAGGGAGATTTTCCTGGCCACTGTGCTTCTGCCTCTGCATTGCTTGCTCTTTGGGGTTTTAGACTGGGTATCTGTAAATCACTTTTGTGACAACTGCTGATGTAAAAAGGGCTTTATAAAATACATTTTATTGATTCATGTGAATAGCAGGAGACCTGGGGTGCGTTCAGTTCAACGTTTAATTCAACGAAACGGTAACGTACTGAATGCCAGTTGAAGAACGGTGTGAATATGGTGGCACAGAGGGAGATTGTGTATGGTGTGTGCTGCACAAGTCAAAAATCGAATCAAATGTTATTTGTCACATTCTTCGTAAACAACAGGTGTAGACTAAGAGTGAAATGTTTACTTTCAGGCCCTTCCCAACAATGCAGAGAGAAAGAAAATATAGAAATAATAGAAAAATAAAACACATAATAATAAAAGTAATAATAAATACACAATGAGTAACGATAACTTGGTTATATACACGGGGTACCAGTACTGAGTTGATGTGCAGGGGTATGAGGTAATTGAGGTAGATATGTACATATAACTAGGAATAAAGGGACAGATAATAAACAGTAGCAGTTAACTATTTAACTAATTATTTAGCAGTCTTATGGCTTGAGGGTAAAAGCTGTTCAGGGTCCTGTTGGTGCATCGGTACCGCTTGCCATGTAGTAGCAAAGATAACGTTCAATGAATTGGGTGGCTGGAGTCTTTGACAATTTTTAGGGCCTTCTTCTGACACCGCCCGGTATAGAGGTCCTGGATGGCAGGGAGCTCTGCCACAGTGATGTACTGGGATTTATACACTACCCTCTGTAGCGCTTTGCGGTCGGATGTTTAAGCAGTTGCCGTACCAAGCGGGGATGCAGCCAGTCAAGATGCTTTCGATGGTGCAGCTGTAGATCTTTTTGAGGATCTGAGGGCCAAATCTTTTCAACCTCCTATGGGGAAGAGGCATTGTCGTGCCCTCGACTGTGCTGGTGTGTGTGGACCATGATAGGTCCTTAGTGATGTGGACACCGAGGAACTTGAAGCTCTCGAGCCGCTCCACTACAGCCCTGTCAAAACAAATCAACGTTTATTGGTCACGTACACAGTTTAGCAGGTGTTATAGTGGGTTCAGCGAAATTCTTATGTTACTAGCTCATAACAACGCAATAAAATGTCAAACAAGTACGCAAATAATTTAAATGTAAAAATAAAAAAAAGTTACAAAATAAATCAATAAATCAAGAACATCAGGACGAATCCAATTAACAACCCAAATAGCAATGTAGCAGTAATCAAAATGCATATGTACAATCTATACGTATATACACCGGGAGAATTTACACACGATCAGCTAAGAATGATATGTCCGGCACAGGAGGTTGGTGGTACCTTAATTGGGGAGGACGGGCTCGTGGTAATGGCTTGTGCGGAATAGGTGGAATGGTATCAAATATAGTACATCACATGGTTTGATGCCATTCCATTTGCTCTGTTCCAGCCAATAATATGAGCCTCCACTGATGTCCAGCAGTAGATATATTACAGTAAGATGTATATTTACAGCAGTAGATATATTACAGTAAGTCAAGACTCCAGTATAGAATAAATATGTGGTGTGTATAAACAGTGGAAATAAATACAATGTACAGCAGTAGAACTATTAGAATGAGCGATGTTGGGGATATAGTATGGAAATAAACAGTATGGAAATACTCAGTGGGAAATGGGACGTGACCCGTGGTTCAATGTCTCTATGACATGGGACAGCAGTGTTGGCTGTATGTGTGTGTGTGAGTTTGTGTGTAAGTGCGTGTGTTTATGAGTATGAGGTGTGTGTGTGTTTTGTGTGTGTTTTGTGTGCATTACCTGGTAGATGGCCAGTGATGGAGTTTTGAGTTTTGAGTTTTAATATTGATCAGGCCACACCTCACCACACCCACCAAACAGGAGCAAACGTACCTCAAAAGCAGTTGAAGAGCGGTGTGAACCGTTTTTGGGGGAAACGTGTCGTTCAGTACAAACCATCACGCAATGTAGCAAGCGTTGAATCGAACTGAACGCACCCCCAGTTTCAAACCCTCTTGGTCACATTAGTGCTGTGAATTTGATGGGTCTCTGTGAGGAGGAGGTCAAAGGGGGTGAAGACTAACTCGTAAACTCATGTGACCACATGCCTGAGATTTTGAAGACTTGCATTGCCTAATGCCAAGGCTTTAGCTCAGTGGGGCACAGGAAACTAAGGTTTGAACCAAGACATTGTTTGAACTGATCAGTCAGCTAGAAAAGTGGTTCAGCAGCCAGAATGTTGCTGGTTCAAGCCCTAGTGTGTGTCTGGGGGTGTTGGGGAAAGGCAGAAGACAGGTTGTCTTCAAATTGACAATAAAGTCTATATTATATTCAATTATATTCTATATTATAAACTGGGTAGTTCGAGACCTGAATGCTGATTGGCTGACAGCCGTGGTATATCAGACCGTATACCATGGGTATGACAAAACATATTTTTTACTGCTCTAAATACGTTGGTATCTAGTTTATAATAGCAATAAGGCACCTCGGGGGTTTGTGGTATATGGCCAATATACCATGGCTAAGGGTTGTGTCCAGGCACTCCGCGTTGCGGCGTGATTAAGAACAGCCCTTAGCCATGGTATATTGGCCATATACCACACCCCATCCGGCCTTATTGCTTAAATATACAACCGCACTACATACATAAAATGTATCCAAATATGATTAAAAATATATATATATACAGTGGGGGAAAAAAGTATTTAGTCAGCCACCAATTGTGCAAGTTCTCCCACTTAAAAAGATGATAGGCCTGTAATTTTAAGGTAAACGTCAACTATGACAGACAAAATGAGAAGATTTTTTTTTTTAATGAATTTATTTGCAAATTATGGTGGAAAATAAGTATTTGGTCAATTGCAAAAGTTTCTCAATACTTTGTTATATACCCTTTGTTGGCAATGACACAGGTCAAACATTTTCTTTAAGTCTTCACAAGGTTTCACACACTGTTGCTGGTATTTTGGCCCATTCCTCCATGCAGATCTCCTCTAGAGCAGTGATGTTTTGGGGCTGTCGCTGGGCAACACAGACTTTCAACTCCCTCCAAAGATTTTCTATGGGGTTGAGATCTGGAGACTGGCTAGGCCACTCCAGGACCTTGAAATGCTTCTTACGAAGCCACTCCTTCGTTGCCCGGGTGGTGTGTTTGGGATCATTGTCATGCTGAAAGACCCAGCCACGTTTCATATTCAATGCCCTTGCTGATGGAAGGAGGTTTTCACTCAAAATCTCACGATACAGTGAGGGAAAAAAGTATTTGATCCCCTGCTGATTTTGTACGTTTGCCCACTGACAAAGACATGATCAGTCTATCATTTTAATGGTAGGTTTACTTGAACAGTGAGAGACAGAATAACAACAAAAAAATCCTGAAAAACGCACGTCAAAAATGTTATAAATTGATTTGCATTTTAATGAGGGAATTAAGTATTTGACCCCTCTGCAAAACATGACTTAGTACTTGGTGGCAAAACCCTTGTTGGCAATCACAGAGGTCAGACATTTCTTGTAGTTGGTCACCAGGTTTGCACACATCTCAGGAGGGATTTTGTTCCACTCCTCTTTGCAGATCTTCTCCAAGTCATTAAGGTTTCGAGGCTGACGTTTGGCAACTCGAACCTTCAGCTCCCTCCACAGATTTTCTATGGGTTTTAGGTCTGGAGATTGGCTAGGCCACTCCAGGACCTTAATGTGCTTCTTCTTGAGCCACTCCTTTGTTGCCTTGGCCGTGTGTTTTGGGTCATTGTTATGCTGGAATACCCATCCACGACCCATTTTCAATGTCCTGGCTGAGGGCAGGAAGTTCACACGCAAGATTTGACGGTACATGGCCCCGTACATCATCCCTTTGATGCGGTGAAGTTGTCCTGTCCCCTTAGCAGAAAAACACCCCCAAAGCATAATGTTTCCACCTCCATGTTTGACGGTGGGGATGGTGTTCTTGGGGTCATAGGCAGCATTCCTCCTCCTCCAAACACGGCGAGTTGAGTTGATGCCAAAGAGCTTGATTTTGGTCTCATCTGACCACAACACTTTCACCCATCTCTCCTCTGAATCATTCAGATGTTCATTGGCAAACTTCAGACGGCCCTGTATATGTGCTTTCTTGAGCAGGGGGACCTTGCGGGCGCTGCAGGATTTCAGTCCTTCACGGCGTAGTGTGTTACCAATTGTTTTCTTGGTGACTATGGTCCCAGCTGCCTTGAGATCATTGACAAGATCCTCCCGTGTAGTTCTGGGCTGATTCCTCACCGTTCTCATGATCATTGCAACTCCACGAGGTGAGATCTTGCATGGAGCCCCAGGCCGAGGGAGATTGACAGTTATTTTGTGTTTCTTCCATTTGCGAATAATCGCACCAACTGTTGTCACCTTCTTACCAACCTGCTTGGCGATGGTCTTGTAGCCCATTCCAGCCTTGTGTAGGTCTACAATCTTGTCCCTGACATCTTTCCTT